TTCTGAAATGTCACTGAAGCTGCCTCTTAGCTCCACTTCCCTCTCTCCATACAGCACTGTTTTCTCACTCCCTGAAGGTGTCTATCCTGAGAGTGTCCCGCATGATCTGGTTGGGTGTGCTTCCTTGGGACGATTATCTGTTTCTAAGATCACAGGCCAGCTCAGTGGAGGGAGGAGGCGGACAGGAACCGGTGCCTTCCTCTGCTCAGCTTTCCAAAGGCACCTGGCTGACCTCCCTCCTTGATACCTTTCGGGCTTCAGCATGTTCGTCCAGGAAGTTGGGGTATGTGACCTTCGAGCATAGGTCAGGACACGATGGAAGAAACTCACACACACCCTGGAACCCAATGTGACAATGCCAAGTGCTTCTGTGTGTGATTCCTCCAGGGCAAGGCATTCAACCTTGACCAAATGAACAGACAGCAAGAAACAGCAAAGATCATATAAAAGGTTCAGAGCAGGGGGACACTGGACTTGATTCCTACAGCTCAGCTCCAGGACAGAAACTAATGGGGATGCTCCATGATTCTGCCCTATCCTGCAGAAGCACAGTCTGGTTCTGTGTAGTGCAGCAAACCCCCGGGTTTCACCATAGCCCAGTACTCTGGAATCCATCTTCCTTCGCTAATGTGCCAGCTACTACAGAAGCCTTGTTTGGGGGCGACACAGTGGAACTTGATGTCATGGCCCTTTGATTGCCCCATGGAGCAGCACTGATAGAATTTGCGTAGATTCATTTACTGTCTTGTTTAGGGCTGCCTAGAGGCAGGAAAGCTAGAGGCTAGGCCCTGAACTCTTCCCAGTTCACTTGCCTCTGGGGATCACTTCTGACATAGAGAGCTGGAGACATCTTAGAAATGCGTGGAACCCCGGTTGCCAATCATGATACTAAATGCTTATGAGGCCACAGACCCCAAATCCCACAATAGTAAAATACAGTCACAATGCCCAAAAGCAAGTAGAACAGGAGGATCATAGTACACATCTCAGAAGGCAGTTGGAGAGCCCGTTGAGAGATGATCAAGGCTTGACTATAAAAACCAAGAGAACAAGACCTTACAAATGCTGGGCTCTGCTTACGGAGGAACAGATGGCCTGCATTGCTCTGAAAAAGGGATTGAATATGTCATCAGACATAAGCATTCCTGTTAAGGCATCTCTAAAATAGACATTTTTAAAGAATTATTAATTTTATTTGTGAGTATGGGTCGCTGTGTGAGCTTAATCGTTTCTGCACCTAAGTAATATGTCAACAGAGATTAATCATTTTGTTGTTCGTACTTTTGTGTATTTTGGAAGTTTTAAAGAAAAAGATAGGTTTTAAAAATAGAAATACAAGGAATTATATATTGTTTTTATTGTGTGTCTTCAATTAGCTTTTTGTACCAATGGGTTCTGTATCTATACATATATTTTTATATTTTATTATATGTTTCATTACATACATGTATTTGTTATACACATATTTATATTACTTAGGATATATATATATATATATATATATTTGGTTTTTGAGACAGGGTTTCTCTGTGTATAGCTTTGGAGCGAGTTCTGGAACTCACTCTGTAGACCAGGCATATTTATATATTTAGTTAGTTTACATTATATATTGTATTATATATATTTATTTAACCAACCCCAGAGTAAAAATATTTTTGAACTGAATGGGCACAATTTTTTTCTTGTCACTTTTTCCAAACAGTACAGCACAACATTGATTTATATAATATATACATTTTTACATATTAAAAGCAATCTAGAGATTATTTAAAGTATATGAGAAAATAGGGGCAGGTTATATGCAATTGTTATATCATTTTATGCACAGAACTTGAGCATATACAGAATTGGGTATATTCGGGGGTTCTGAAACCAGTGCCCCATGGACACTGAGTTGATTGGATACATATGCTGAACATAGATCTATGTGTAAATGCATACATATATACTTGATTTCCCAATGAAAGGTACCATGTCACACAGTGTTGCATGACTTTACTTGTGGAATCTCTTTCTATTTGCTCCAGATAGAGAGAACAAGGGCAGAGCAAAGAAACTATTCCATTCAAATACAGTTTGATGAATCAATGGGTTTTGGGGGGCTTACTTACAGGGGCATGGGTGAGGGGCTACTTAGAGGAACATGGGTGATTCTGGCAGCTGCTTTGCCAAAAAAACATTACCCCAGCATGGGCGACTGTTCATCAAAACCTGTATCACCAGAATGCCCTGGACAACTTGTGCATTTTTATACCATGGAAGAATTGCCTCTTCCCTACCAATCGCTTGCTATCTATATAACTACTTACCCAGTTTCATGAAACTTACAGCGGAAGTCGATTTCTCAAAAAAAAAAATACATAAAAAGCCCATAAGTTAGTTTAAAATACTCATTGGCCTTGATGGCATGGGCCTGCAATCCCAGCTATTGCGAATATTAAGGAAGGGTGACTTCATGCTCAGCCTATTGGGACTGCAAAGTAATTTCAAAGCCAGCCTGGGCACCCTATCTCAAAAGAAAAGGTAAAAAGGAAGCTGGAAATAGATAGTTTGGTGGTAGTGTGATGGAGTGTGATGCCCCAGGTCCAATCTCAGTATACATGTACACGAAAATCCCAGTGTAGCTAAAACGGAAATGAAAATCACAAAGAGAGGACACCTCATTCAAGTCAGAATGACAAAATGACCAAGAAAACAATGGCTGGTATGGGTGTGGGAAAAAGGAAAGCTTTGTATGCGGTTGGTGGGAATGCAAATTAGCACACACATTATAAAAAAGTGTATGGAGCTTCCTTTAAAAATTTAGACACGGTGTTACAACGGAGTCTAGAGATCCCAACGTTGGGTACGTTTCCAAAGGAAATAAAGTGACTACAGAAGAGACAACGGTACTTCCATGTTTATTGCAGTACTAGTCACTCTAGCGAAAATGAACATTCCCCTTCAATGTCCGACCACAGGTAAACTGCTAGTTGAGAGAGACAGGCACAGGCAGAAGTTGGGCAGCAGGTGTGTAGTTAGAAGGAAGAAGTTCTGCTATGTTACCAAACAATAAGGAGTCTGGGGAATACAATAAAGTGCTATACAATTCTAAATAGCTACACTTTTAAAAACATTTTCATCACAAACAAAAGGGCATGGAGGCCCTCCCCTGTGTTCCAAGCACAGGCTGAGGAAGGAAGATAGAGAGATGAAGACCTGTCTGAGCTTAGAACTAAAAGTCTGTCTCAAAAAAAGTGTCTGTGTGTGTGTGTGGGGGGGGTGTTTGTCGAATAGCTCAGTTAAGAAAGTGTTGGCTGTGCCAGGATAAGGACCTAAGTTCAATCCTTGGAACACATGCTCTATAACAAGCAGGGTGGGCATCCTCTTGTAGTCCTACCACCCGAGAGACAGAATCAGGCTAGTCATCCTACACAGTGAATTCTAGGCCACTGAAAGACCCTGTCTCAAAAACACAAGGTAGAGTTGACCTCTGGCTTTCACACACAAACACGCAGGCACGTACGCACAGGCAACCTCCCCACATGAAAACATGTACACATGCACACACGCAAAGGGAGGCTGGAGAGGTGGCTTAGTCAACCAAGCTTAAAGCACTTGCCATACAAAGCCTGGGGCCCCGACTTCATATCCCCAACACCCTGAAAGTGCTGAGGTGGTGGGGGTAGTGAGGGGTAGATTCCTGGAACTCACTGACTAGGCAGTCGAGCTAAATTGGTGAGCTTCATTGAAAAAGACATGCAATGTAGGGCTTTCACCCCCCTACACACACACAGACACACACACACATATGTGCACACATGCAGAAAAAGAAATGAGGGATGCAGCTTGGTGGTAGGGTACTTGCCTGGTGTGTCCTTGAAAGACCTGGGTTTGCTTCTTTCATTATATGAAAAAAATATAAGTATATGAAGCCAACATGCTGACCATCCTCGTTTGACCAATACAGCATCTGTAAATGTAGATTCATCTACAACAGGCTTGTCCTTTTATAAGTTGAATATTGGGCTGGGTGAAATGACTCAGTGGTGATTGCCACCAGGCCTGAGAACCTGTGTTGCATCCCTAAACCCACATGACATGGTGGAAGGTGAAAACCTACTTCTGCAAATTGTGCGTTGATCTCCACATGAGAACACAAACACAGATGCTCAAACACACAAAATAATTGAGTGCAGTAATAAAAACTTTTTAAAATGAAAATTTCACATTACTTACGGGCTAGGGAGATGGCTCAGTGGGTAAAGTGCAAGCTTGTCACCCCAGCCACAGAAACACGGGATTTCAGTGTCTGGCCTTCAAACACAAGTGGTGTGTGCTCTGTGCAACACAGGTGGTATATGCACTGTGCAGCCGCAAGCCTACAAACGCACAAAGTTGCATATTAATTTATACACATGCTATAACTTAATCGATGCCCTATTTCGCAGTAAGTCAATTCAGTTTCTCCTTTTATAAAGTTGCTCTGCATGCTTAAAGGATTGGTAGGCATTTTGCCAATTGCATTCTAGAAAGTTCCGGGTGCTTCCATACACTTTCGAAGCCGCTATTGGAATGACTTCCCTTAGCTTCAGTTTCCTATCTTTACAGATAGCAAGACTGTAGTCCTTCAAACTTGAAAGACTTGTCTTATCCTGCCTGTTAGTCATGCAGCCTAAGTGGGACTCCAGAAATCCCATGCACGCTCTCCCTCCTCTTGCCACATTCCCGCCCCTCCCCACGCACCGCCATCCCCCCCCTCCCCTCGCGCTTTTCCCGCTCGGCCGCTTGGCCTATGGCAAACGCCAAGAATTAATTAGGGGCGGGGATGGAGGAGCGTCTGTCAGGAGATCGCCATATTTCTGTACAGCCCGTGGGGCAGCCCCAGCAGTCGGTGGGTCAGGAGAGGTGCTGACAAGGCGGGGCAGACGCTGAGCTCCTCCGGCTTCACCCCCTCCCGCTGGGGACAGGTGGCTGCAGAGCGCCCCGCCTCCGCCAGCTGCGAGTGGGAACCAGGGAGGGCCAGTCCCGGACGGCCACTGCCAGCTGCGAGTCCGGGGACAGCGCGGTCTAGTGTGGGACAGCCGGCCGAAGGGTCCGGCAGCGGCAAACGAGTATCCTGGCGGCCAAAAAAATGCTCCTGTACCGAGGGGCCCCCGCGGGCCCTGGCGCTCAGGGCGGCGGACTGGCCCGAGTGGGCAGTGTCCCGCAGGCCTTTGGGATTCGCCTGAGCACGGTAGGTTGGGGGCCCCCCGAGGGGACAGACTCGCGCGAGCGTGCGCGGGTCCCCGGGCTGCGGGGGGCGCATGGGGTGGGCCCGGTGGGCCGAGGCCTCACTCGGGACGGGACCTTTTCTCGCCCCCAGATGAGCCCCCGCTATCTCCAGAGCAACTCCAGCAGTCACACGCGACCCTTCAGTGCCACCGCGGAGCTGCTAGGTGAGTGGCGACGGTGGGCCGGGCCGCGGGGTCGCAAGCCGGGGCAGCGGTGCCAGCGTGGTGCGGTGGACGCGAGAGGAATGCACGAGGCGCGTGGGGCGGGTCCGCCTGGGACGGGTTGCCTCGGCCACCGTGTTCTCTCGGGGGCCGGGGTAGGGGGACTAGATCCTGCCCGGAAAGCCCAGGAAGCGAGGTGTGTATGAAGAGTTTGATAGGGTTCCTGCGCCGTTGTTCTGTCTGGTTCGTGATGTTCCAGTCACTTTAGGATTCTTAGTAAATAATCAAAAAGCAATGCATAAAAATATCGGGCCCCGAGGCGTCTGGGTTCGACAGCGGCTGGCAGCCGACAGAGGGCCCCAAGCTGGCAAAGGAACAGTGCAGAGGACCGTGTAGACTCCTTGGAAAGATCTGGAACCGACTTCTTTAACTTTAGAGACAAAGTCTAGGAATGATGGGACATCTCTTAAGAGATGATGACACGAGTGCATTTGGCTCCCTGAGACTGCAGAGGGCTGGGTTCGTAGTCCACGAGCGCCCTCACACCGCTGGAATGAATCCGGAGGACTTAAGGACTTAACCTCTGGGTGCACCGATGCTTGCTTAAGGAGCATTTTCAGTTGTTTCCCTGGAGCTGGCTGCATCCGCTTCTGCAGTGGCGTTCGGCTCAGAACGCAAAAAAGAAAAGCAGTTCTGCACACAGTTCAGCAGCATGGAGAGCAGACACATTATAAATATTTCAGAAACCCAAAGAAGGGAGACAGATTTATGGGGCTAGTTAGCACAGAACAAAAATCTTGAAAATGGCTTCAAAGCTATGTGAATGAACCCCAGTGAGTATTTAAGCCACCGCTATGGCCATGCCATGGGACTTGTTTTTGTAATGATGTCGGTGGGGGAGGGGAAGAGCCAGCAGAGTTATTTGGAAGGTGATGGGGAATTCTGATGATTAGTTTGGCTATCACCTAAAATGCTATATAGTAGGTTGCTGATTGCAGTCTAGAAAGTTCAGGAGGAGAGTAGCATTGATGCAGTTTGAAGTTCCAGGCTGAGGTGGCTCTGTCTTTTAGGCTTTTCACTATGTCCACAGAGAGTCTTCGAATAGTGGGATGAGATCAATGTGTATGTAGCGTATTTTAAAAAGACAAGAGAGAGGAAACTTAAGGATATTTTCAAATTGTAATCCCGAAATACATGATTTGTCCACCCTCTTTTTTTGGTGATGCGAGGAATTGAACCCAGAACCTCATAAATGCTAAGCAAGAGCTCACACACACAAAGACAGATTTTTTTTTTAGACCAAGTCACAAATATTGATAGGGCAAAGGAACATCAGAATGTTTACTGGGAATTCATACCTTTCATTTGTCTTTTCCCTCAACAGTTTTCTTTCTTTCTGAATTAATTTTTAGGGGATCACTTATTTGATAGACATGTATTAAATATCCTATATACAAAGTCACCAAGCTGGGTAGAAAATGGATATAATCCAGATCTACGTTATTAGTAGGTGTGACAAAACATTTATCAGCTTCTGGAACAACCATGTAGTATGTCCCAAGCGCTGTATGAAGAGATGCCCACGAGGGCTGTAGGAGTACAGACAGAAGAGGAGTGACTCACGCTGATCAGGAGCAGAGGGCTCAGAAAACGTTTTGTGGAGGAGGAGGCATTTGAGCAGTGATCTGAAGGGTTGGGGCATGTGGATATGGTGAGTGGGGTGGGGGGACGACATTCCACTCACAGGAAGAAGTGGATGAGCAAAAGCGTGAAGACTGTCTACTTGGTCCTTGAATTTAATTAGAGCACCGAGTTGACAAACAGTCGAAAAGCACATGCTTTTAACTGATTAAGAAAGAGCTTTCAAACATATCCTTGTAGTTTATCCTTGGAAATGAGCAGTGGTTTTTTTTTTTCAAAGATGAGTAAAAAGAGGATTGGAGATAGTGTATATTTCTAAGGTCACATGTCTAAGTAAGTGGCAGGTTGAGGTCACAAACATGGGTCATTTTGCTTAAATTCCAAGTAGGAAATGAGGTTAGAAAGGTGATCTGCAACCAGGATGTGGCTGGGAGGCTTGACATTTGACCTGCTAGCCTGACAAGGAGAGTTAGTGCTTAGAGCGCTCCTTCGGGGTGGTTGATCTTACCCAAGAGGAGTCGGAGAAGAGAGACATAGGTTTTTAAGATTATTAGAAAGCTATTGCAATAATACAGATGAGAGGGGATAAACCCTTGTAAGTTAAGAAAAATGACAACGAGAACAGTAAAAGCAAGATGTAACAGAACCTGGGGGTGTATAGAGCAGAAAGATGGATGGATTAAAAATAGCTTTAAAAAGATTTGTTATTTTTATGTGTATGAATGTTTTACCATGTATGTAAATGTACCCGCACAAATGAGGGCAGTTCCCAGGGAAGCTAGAAGAGGGTATCAGATCACCTGGAATTTGAATTGTAGACAGTAGTGCCAGTGGGTACTGGAAGCCAAGCCAGGATCCCCTGCAAGAGCAGCAATTGATCTTAACCACTGAGCCATCTCTTCAGCTCCAGAAAAACATCTTTTTAAATACCAAACTCACAGTTTCACACATGCTAGGTAAGTATTCTACGCAGCTACAACTCCAGTTGTACTGGCCATTGGAATGTTTGGGCATGTGTGTGTGTGTGCGCACGCACGCGTGCGCACGTGCGCAAAGAATAGCCTTGTGACCAAAAATGACCTACCTTACTTTTATATTTCTATCTGCTTGCAAGTTGCCTTGTAGTGCAGTAGCCTTTCCCTGGCAACCTTGCACATCTCCACGTACTGAAGCAGGAACAGATGGGGGCTTGTGAAGTTTCAAAGCAGGCTCTCCTTCCTTATCTCTCTTCTCACTGAAAAATTTGTTAGGCTCCTCCTTTCCTGCTACCGCCACCACCAGGTACCACCAAGTTCCCATGAGGGATGAGTCTTCACTTACAGAACTCTTTTTTTTTTGAAGACAAGGAATCCAGCACTGGGGAGGCAGAGGCAGGAGGATCTCTGTGAGTTCGAGGCCAGCCTGGTCCACAAGAGCTAGTTCCAGGACAGGAACCAAAGCTACAGAGAAACCCTGTCTTGAAAAACCAAATAAGACGAAAAAAGAAAAAAAAAAAGACAAGGAATCATGTAGATGGTGAATGTGGAACCGCTTAGGCTGTAAGGATTTTCATGTTCTTGCTAAAGTAACTTGGTAGCCAAAGGCAAGGTGGAGCTAGGGCCCTCTCGCTAAGGGATGGCACAGACTAAGAGAGAAGAGGTAAGAGTGTATTAGTGTATGGAATTGTGAATCCAGATGAAGATGGGACAGCTCTCATCTAACTCTAGGTAAAGGAGTTAGGGTTCTCTCATTATATCTGTTCATGGTCTGAATGGGCTGGACTGGGCTAGAAGATCGATTCCCTGAGATGTGATAGGATATGCTAGACATTGGCCAGTTCTTATCATGCTGAACAACAGGAGGTAGGATTGAAACTGCTTGCCTTGCCAGCACCGTAGAAGTTCATCCATTGGACTGATCATATTGTTAAACTATCATTTGTTGAGGCCTCATAAAAGGCCACGCGGAGCCAGGAATTAAATGCAAAGCTTTGTTTGCCAGTCCATGCCCACTGATCTCAATTTCCCTGATGCACTGTCTGACTCTGACCTCTCTTGGGCCCCATATTCTCTGTACTTCATGAAGCCACCACTCATATCTGACTGTTCCAGACATGTGACTCATGAACTGTCTTTGTTCTTTGGTCCACTCCTAGAAAACAACCAAACAAATAAAAACAACCTAGTGAAGTTTGGCCCAAGCTTTGAATAGAGAGAAAAGAGAAGTGATTTTGTTGAGGCCCATAAATTGATTCATTTCACGTCCCAGTGTACATGTGTGTAATTAGAATCAGTGTGCGTTGTGTGTTTGAATTGGGAATGTCCATAAAGTATTAGAAAAGGTCCTCGATAGTCATCATTTTCCATGCATAAATGCTATCCAGCTGGTTGACAAGTGTATTGGTCTCAATGGCTTTGGCTGTCTACCAGCAGGAGTGACTGATAAGAGCCTGCATGCCAAGTAAAATTTCCTGAATGCTGACAGATGTAAAATGCTAGGTCTTCCTGATGGTTAAGAAAAAAAAACTGCCTCTTACAAAGTAAAGAACTGTATTTCTGTTAATGCTTCCTTTGCTTATCAACGTGTGACTTCTGCTCAAATATAGCCCCGGTACTAATGCCGCGTTTACACGGGGCTTAGGGCCTCCTTGGATCTTACAAATCCACTGTACTAGACCTCATAACCCCTTTCTGGGACTGTCCAGATTTTTTTCAGATTGCAGCCAGTAACAGTTTTATCAATGACTGGCAGCACTGTCGTATCGCTTGAAATTAATCTGCCTCTCGTTTTATTTGGCAGACTTTCCACACATCCAAGTGGCTGTAACTGATACTGATAATTATATTGTAAAAATGTGTATTTTGAGTAAGTGTAATACTTTTCTTGATTCTAAGAGATGTTCCCAATGGAGAAATGACATGATTTGTTCGACGATATTGATCAGGACCCCACATGGCTATCTCAGGCCAACTCTATGGTATCAGTAAAGTCATATAGAATGTCGGCAAGACAGGGAAGGATATATAGAAAGGAAGATCTCTGTTGCTTAAAAAACCTAGTAGAAATTGAAATGATGTAGATACCTAGCTGTAGAAGTCAATTTTGTGTCGCTCTTAACAAAATGCCCAAGCATAAATGCATTGTAAATAAAGAAGTTTATTTGAATCATGATTCTGGCTCCTGAAATGTCCAAATGGCATCATGCCAGCCTTCCTGGAAGGGCCCCCTAGCTGCATCACAAGGCATCACAATGTGCCAGAGAAGTCAAAACAGAGCTCGACACGTACAGAAGGAGCCAAACACACAGGGTGGCCTTGGATTAAAACAACTCATTTTAGTAGAAAGTAATCCAGTCCTTTCAAATCTGACAGTATCAGTCCTTTCCAAGGCAGCATCCTCAGTGACCCAATTATATTGTATTAGACTTTGCTTCTTAAAGGTCCTGCCATCTCTTCATCCCACCAAAGGCAGAGCTTCTAGCATGTAAGCCTTTAGGGCACAAATCATAGCCAACCAATAGTACTATCCACCATTTGTATAGAATACACTTCTAACTGAGACTAGTAATCCATACCAGTTAATGACTGTGTAAACTGGTGCCCATGGCAATCGATGTGGCCTTTCAGATAGTGGTAGTCTCTGGCATAGAGGACATGACACATTTAATATGGTTAAGTTTGAAAATAATTCGCTGTTTGTGAAGATGTACTTCAGGAGGAATCATGGAAGTTTCTATGAAGTTTTTTTTACATTAATTCGGATCTCCATTTCAAGGGCTAGAAATGCTCTCACATTTAACACAGAGAAAAACAGCAGAATCACTGTTTCTCTCAAAACAGGCTTGTTGCCATCGCTAGGATTTAAGTAGGCAATTAAATGTTTTAATTTTAACCTTTGACTCCTTGAGGTCTTTATAACTATAAACAGGGATAGCAAAAATACATGTGTGTGTGTGTGTGTGTGTGTGTGTGTGTGTGTGTTTGAGAGAGAGAGACAGAGAGAGAGAGAGAGAGAGAGACAGAGAGAGAGAGAGAGAGACTGACTCTCTGCTATGTATTTCTGATATCTATGACTGTCCTGGAGTTTGCTATGTAGAACAGACTGGCCTTGAACTCACAGGGATCATCCTGCCTCTGTCTCTCTAGTGCCGGGATTAAAGGTATGTGCCACAACATCAATACCATGTTCTTTAACAGAGGATATCAAAAAGCAGAAGATAATTCCTTTTTACAAATAAACTGTAATGTACATAACATCCATTCTTTTTACCCAAAGTGCTGGCTCAATTTGTTCACTCTATCCACCTTTCACTGTGTTTGTGAGCTGTAAAGTGTCTTAGAGGCAAGAGGTAGAAAAGCCAAATCAGAGAAAAATGCTTTGCAAATAGCCCATTTTCCCATAGACCCTGACTTTTATAAGGAGAAAATCAGACTGCAGGATCATCCATTCTGTGAAACCTAGAAATCAGCTTCATGGCTCCGTCTGCCATCAAGTCCACTGTTCTCTGTAACTCAGTAAGCGCACCACTGTTATTGTTTCCATCCTTACCTCCTGGGACTTTCATAAGAAGGAATGAAAGACAGATTTATATGTCTTGGTACTGAACTGGAGGTTTTGATAGATTATCGATTTCTCCTTTTTGCAGATAATGCTGTAGACCCAGATGTATCTGCCAGGACAGTCTTTATAGATGTTGAGGAGGTCAAGAATAAACCTTGTTTGACATTTACTGATGATGGATGTGGGATGACACCTCACAAACTCCACCGAATGCTCAGGTAAAAACATCTCTATTCGATGTCATTATCTTGACTTCACAAACTTTATTTGCAGCTCGATAACTTGTCTGTAGTATTTTAACTTATCTCTCTTTACACTATGGATACTTATGAAGCATATCTTAGTGTGAGGACTCTGATTGTGAAGCAGACAGTATTTCTACCTGCAAGGAACTTAGAATCTAGCTGCCAATTCAGATGATTGAGGCAAGTAACCATAATAAAAGACTCTAAGCTTAAAAATAGAAAAGCATGAGATACATGGGACCTCAGAGGTCTCTGAAAGTCTCCTAGTTAGAATGCTATTCACATTGAGATGTGAAGGATGGCTCAAATTTAACAAGGTAAGAAAGGGTAGGGAGCAAGGCCTGGCAGTTCAAGAAGAGAAAATGTTCTAAATAAAACCCTGAATTTCTTCATTTATCTGATCCCTTTCTCCAGTTCATAATTCATCTAAACTCCTTCTTAAGGCCTAAGTACTGGAGTTGGGATGACTCATGGGTCAGAACTGTGAAGTGCCTGAGCATAAGGAAACCCCATGCAAGGTGAATTAAAGGCTTCACATACATAGTCTTGGAAGGTTTACCATAGAGCTGTGGAGTTAAGAAGGGGTATTTTCTGACCAGTGAAGCTGAAGATAAATTCCTACTGACATACCGAGTTCGTTTACTTATTTTTCAACGTTTGTGGTGGTGAATGTTTGTGCTTTATTGTCTCCCCATATCACTTGGTGCAAGATGGGTGTTTCTTCAACCCTTTCCTTCTTTTTTTCCTTTTGAGCAGATGTGGTTGTTAACTCTCCGTGTGCTTCCTGAACTGGAGCATGTAAAGCATGGGTAACAATGGAGCGGTGCTGACCAGGAGTGAAAGGGCTCAGAATCCTAAAAATGGAAAACAAATTCATTGTCTTGTAGTTTTATTGGAAAGTGTTCTGAATTAGTAGATGTTTGTAGGAAATCCCTTTGTTCCTCAAAGAAACAAAAATGAAATTTAGTCAAAGAGATTATATTTGCTACTCAGCAGTCTGTGTATCTTTTACCTTAGTCTCTCTTTCTTTAACAAATATTTTGTTTTATGTATATGCATGTTTTGTGTACATGTAGTGTCCCAGATCCCCTGGAACTGGACCTACAGAAAGCTCTGAGCTGCCATATGTACTCTGGGAATTGAACCTAGGTCCTTTGGAAAAACAACTGGTGTGCTTAACCAGTGAGCCACCTCTCCAGCCCTTACTCTCTTAACCAGTGAGCTGCCTCTCCAGCCCTTACTCTCTTAACCAGTGAGCCGCCTCTCCAGCCCTTACTCTCTTAGTCTCACTTAGAAGAATGTTTGAGTGCCAGGTATGGTAGTGCATGCCTGTGATCCCAGAATTTGGGAGAAGAAGCTAGGCATATTGAGAGTTCTAAGCTTGTCTGTGCTACAGAGTTTTGCCAAAATAAGACAGAACCAACAAAAACTCGAGGGAAATTTCTAGAAGTGAGACCAAGTATGTCCAGTATGTGGTAAATGTGGAGGTAGAGACTTGATTTGATTTTCTAATTCACAACATCAGTTTTATTCCTAGAATTAATAGTACATGCTAAAAAGAAGACAATCGACATAGGATAGAACTATTAATATTTATGTCTAATTCTGCATTACAACATTTCTCTGAAATTGCTGGTCACCTGTTTTTTGTATGTGTTTGTGTGTATGTGCATGTACATGCATGCCCGTGTTGCGAAAGCCAGAGGTTGTTGTCAGATGTTCTCCTCAATTACTCTCCCCCCCACTTTTTTCCCCCATTGAACCTGGGGTTTTACCTTCATCTAGACTAGCATGCCAGCAATCCCCAGATAATCCCTCTGTTTCCACCTCCTCGATGATGGGGTTATAGGCATGCTTTGTTGAGTGTAGGCTTTTATGTGGGTGCTGGAGACCTGAACTCAGGTGCTCTTGTTCACTCATCAAGCAGCTTACTCACCGAGCCCCCTCCCTAGCTCCCACTGATCACCTTACTTACTGACTTCCTCCCACAACACCTTATCCCAGTTACGTGGGCACCAAACAGTAGGTCCAGCAAATATAGAAATACCTTCCATTTTTTCTGTGCATCTATTTATATGAAAGTTGATATAGTTATAAGAAAGAGGGGAAGAAGAGGATGATTTAAAAATAATTTCAGGGCCCTGAGAGATGCTTCAATGTTTAAGAGCACTGACTGTTCTTCCAGAGGACTTGGGATCAATTCCCAGCATCCACATGGTGGCTCACACATGTCTGTAACTCCAGTTCTAGGGAGTTTGACACCCTGTTTTTTCCTCCATGGGCACTGTATGCATGTGATGTGCAGAAATGCATGCAGGCAAAATGCCTATTTCCATAAAGTAAAAATAAATAAAATACTTTCAAGAATAATCACTCATTCATTCAGTAAATTCCTACCAAATGAATGAGTGAATGAATCAGAAGCAAAGCCTTATGTCAAATGCCAGTGGTAACCTAGACAGATATAATCTTTGCTCTAAAAGTGTCAACAGTATAGTGGAAAGGGAAGCTGGCTAGTGCTATGGGTAAGCAGGCTTTCACCCAGAGGTAAGTGGTAAGAAAGAGTACAAATTTTGAGTCCATTTAGCAGAAGGAAAAGAATCTAGCCTATGAAGTTAAAAAAAAAAACTACACAAAGAAATACATTGTGTGCGTGTGTGCATGTCTCTCTCTCTCTCTCTCTCTCTCTCTCTCTCTCTGTGTGTGTGTGTGTGTGTGTTGGAAAGCCCGTATGTGGAATTCAGAGGACAACTTTGAATAGTTTGCTCTCTTGTTCCATCATGTGTTTGGGGGGTTGAACTCAGGCCTTCAGGCTTGGTGGAAGTACCTTTGCCTACTGAGACATCTTGATGGCTCACAAAACGACATTTCAGGCAAAATATGAAGGATCAGTATTACCCATTCAAAATTGGCAGAACCTTACATAGCCATAATATTTTTTTCCCATCACACCAAATATATTTCCCATTGATTTTCACGGAGCACATTTTTTTTTATATTTAAAACTTAATTTTAGGAAACTGTGCTAATGAGAATTTCATGTAGTGTGTATACTGGATTTTTCTTGTGATTGTATCTCAAATGCACACTAGCTAAAGTATATCGTTTATTTAAAGGAGATCATCTAGTCTAATCTATTCCACCCAAGACTTCACTTCCCACAATTGTTTTTCTAGCAATACGTTGTACACAGCCAGCAAGTACTGCTCTAGCTGGTCTCCACAGCCCTAGCCCACCACAGTTTTTGAAGGAAAAAAAATTGTAAACTTTAGAAGTAGTTTTGATATATTACTGTGTAAGGTATTTTTTCTGTTTTTCATTTTGTGCTACATTTATTTTATATTTGGAAAAAATACTAGAAGTCATTGTGCAAAGCATGTGAAAGTATTAAGCCTATAGCCATTCTGTTTGCCCTCTGACATTTATCGGTATCCTGTGCCTGTTTTTGTGACTCATTATGCTACTCTTCCTGTTTTCAGGCTGATAAACTAGGGTGCAAAACTGAAGGAGCAGCTTCTTTCATAAACACAGAAACCCATGAAAAGTAAGCTACAAAAGGAAAGTCTGGGCTGAATAGGTAGTTCCTCTGAGTAAGTGAGCATTTGCCTGGCATGTGAAGGTACCTCAAGGGGAAGAACAAAACTAAATCAAAGAAAATCTTTCATTCAGTTTTTTTAAGTCCTACTGTTCTGTCCTTTTTGGCCTCCTGGATAGTATGGGAATCAGTATATACCCATTCAGCAGCCTTTCCCAGCAAGGTGGGAAGCCTCTTCCAAAGGTCAAGGATTAAAAAGAAGCACGAAGTCAGATTGAAGGCCTTTGCTGCCTCCACTCAGAATCACAGAGCATAGTAGGTCTGTCTGCTCCAAGACTGCAGCCAGAGAGTAACAGCCTGCTTGTCAGTCTTGTTTTGTTTTGTTTTGAGACAGGGTTTCTCTGTAGCTTTGGAGCCTGTCCTGGAACTAGCTTTTGTAGACCAGGATGGCCTCGAATTCACAGACATCTGCCTGCCTCTGCCTCCCGAATGCTGGGATTAAAGGCGTGTGCCACCACTGTCTGCCTTGCTTGTCAGTCTTTCAGTCGCTTATAGTACAAGTTAGATCACCACTATGCCTAGGAAACAAGCCTGCAAATGCTTACTTGTGTATTTCCCTGGAGTTTTGCTAAGGTGTGTTTCATTGGTCAGCAGCCAAATTTTATCTATCTATCTATCTATCTATCTATCTATCTATCTATCTATCTATTTTTGGTTTTTTGAGACAGGGTTTCTCTGTAGCTTTGGAGCCTATCCTAGAACTAGCACTTGTAGACCAGGCTGGCCTTGAACTCAAAGAGATCTGCCTGCCTCTGCCCCCGAGTGCTGGGATTAAAGGCGTGTGCCACCACCCTGCTAGCAAACCAACTTAAATTCATCTCTCTAGAATCTAGATTCCTGACATCTTAAGGGTATTTGAGAGAAAATCGCTATATAATTGTATTTCATTGAGAGTACCAGTCTTCAATTCCCTTGGTGTATAGACAATAGTATTTGTTACAAGAGAGGATAGAACAAGATTAATTTAGTGAAGATGAGCCATCTAAGCCCAGATAGCTCTTCTGAAATTATTTTAGCTATATAAAGCTATACAACCTGATACATTTCTGTTATTAAGTATGGTGAGCGCTCTTGTCTTAGGTATTTGCAGTTAAATAGAATGCTTAACGTGGGACCTTAGTTGAAACAGCACATGGAAGTGTTAGTAACAGAACCAAGTCTAAAGCTTCCTTGTCTCTTCTCCTTTCTTTTATCCTTTTCCATCCTGGTTTTGACTCAGGCCTGTTACTTACCTTTTCACCCTTATATTGACATCTGTTCTTACAATATCTAATACAAGGACCTGTGTACATTGGGGGGTAATAGGTGACAAAAAGTAGAGGAGACTAGAAAATAAGAGACGGACTGATTGCCTGTTGTACCACTTTCCCTTGACTACCTAATGGAAAATTTTGTGATATTGGAAAAAAAATCCATATGACCATACAAATTCATTTTGTGTGGCAGGCCTGTTTATGAAGAGCCCTGAATTTTAGATATGTCATTAGATCCGGAGGACAGATAAGGAACAGTACATTCCCGTTCTCAAAATAAATCCTAGAATCAGTTTAAAATTAGAGATAAAAATATCAGAATCTTAGCAGTTTATAAGCCGTTCTTCCTGGAATCATTAAGGCCCAAACATAACATTAACTCAGTGTTCTCTTTTTGGAGGACCACTTCCCTGAAAATTGCTTTCAACTCACATTAGATTTATTTGTAGGATGCACAGAGACCTAGGGAACATCAGTACACTGTTACATAACATCCTTTAACAGAAAATTGAAGGCTGGTCCCTTTTATTGGGTAGTAAACACAAAAGCACAGTCTTCTGGAAATGGAAAACAGGTAGCTGAACCCTTCTCCCACTGGAAAGAATAAGGCCAGAAGCAGCCTGCTCGGTTGTGCCATATGGAGCTAGTGTCTCTTTCATTGATACTGGAGAAGCAGCTAATACATGAAGTCCTGTTGGCTATCAGCTATGAGGGCAAGAATCATATGGGTCGTATTACCATTTGCGTCTCCAGTGCTTAGCATAATGCACAAGTCATAGGGCATCAATGAATAGTAAGCTAATGGCAGTGTACATCATTGTGAAATTGGGTAATCTGGAGATAGACAGTTCTCAAAATTAGCATTTCTTTGTGATGGTGGAGGATACAAGAGGAAGCTCATTTTGTAGGTGTTAATGTTTAAATACTTTTGTATTCTGTCATTTGGATGTGTTTCTGAGTATCTAAACGGAAAACATAAGAAAGAGAAGGATTTTGACTCTCAGAGTAGGCTGATGACAAGGGGCTGCTGAGTTTGCTGAGGTAACTCAGTGAGAGGCCTTTAATAGAACAAGAGAGACTTTATACTGCAGCTGTCTGCAGATATTCCCAGACAGGACTACCTATTTTTGTCCCTTGGCAGTGTTCCAGTGAACTGTCCCAGCCGATGAAACAGAGGCTTAGAATTAGGAGGGTTATCCTTTGGGTGGGGAGTTGGAATTGTCAAGATAAATGATCTCTTTTAGATTTTTGGAGAATGATGTGACCAGACGAGAAGATGCTTAAGTACCTCACTTAGCACCACTGGTACTTTTATGACCCTCTCCAGGTAACAACTCTCTTCATATAGCCACAACTCAGAGCAGTCAGCCCGATTCATCTAAACAAGAAAAGCAGCTGCACGGGACCTTCCCTGGCTCCTGCTGTTAATGTTAGCCAATGGGAGCATTTCATTTACAAAGTGTGACTCTGGCATATAGAACTATTTAATATTTAAGTACACACAAGCCACACTGGAAAATTGGTATCATAGCTCAATCGTAATTTCCTATGTTTTGCCTGGGAGTACCAAAGGGAGTGAAAACAGAACTTGTTGCTGTTCCGCATGTGCAAGCTAACCATTCTCTCTGCGAACTATTCTAGGATGCTTTTTACCTTGCTCATTTCTTTTTTCTTCTGTAATTTCAGCTTTGGCTTTACAGATAAAGTAATAAAGAAGAGCCAGTGTCCCATCGGGGTCTTTGGTAATGGTTTCAAGTCGGGCTCCATGCGCCTAGGAAAAGATACTCTTGTCTTCACCAAGAATGGGGTTACCCTCACTGTTGGACTTCTGTCACAGACCTACCTGGAGTGTATCCAGGCCCAGGCAGTTATTGTACCAATTGTACCATTCAGCCAGCAAAGCAATATCCTTCCTATAAATGGAGAGTAATTGATTAAATATTAGTTTGACTGTTTTGGTGGAACCTCTTCTATAGGTCAAATCAGCTGTTACTTGATATTTACTATTTCAAATGTTTTTATATTTAAAAAGCTATTCAGACATCTGGAATGTAGCTAAAATATTTTTTAAAATACTGGACCATTAGCAGAAGTTTAATTGTTTTCTGTGTTCAAATTCTCACTGTTAAGTTTGATTTATACAATTACTTTTTTTCTAGACACTGTTCTGTGGTAAAGTTCTCGGGGCCTTTGCTCCATAAGGGCTAAATGCATTTGTGGTTATGCTTCCTTCTTGCAATGTCCTACTTCCCAGATTGTCCTGCTAGCAGAATGGTTCATTTGTCCATACCTGGATGGACTCTCATTTCTGATGGGAGAATACAGCAGGAAGAATGGGACTCAGCTGCTTTCAGATAGTTAAAATTTTGGCCTTTGGCCTTTTTTTTTCTTTGTCGTCAGACGAAGCACTTTCTTTGTTTTGCAGCTGTATTCAGTAAGTATAACTGATTTTCATGTTTGAATAAACAGCTGTTCTCAACTCTCCACTTCCTTTTTCTCGTAGCAGTAATGCCTGTCCCTTTCATGTCGATTTTGTGTCTACATGAAACCCCAAAGGCCCTCTTTATATACTTATTAGTTTGTATAACTGTATAATAATGTGTCTCATCAAATTCTTGTGTATATACTGTGTTGGATCATATTTACCCCACCCTCTCTTGGCCCCTCCCACTGATCCTCTTCCTCTTCTCAGCTAGCCCTCCTTTTTCTCATGTCCCTTTTTGTGACCCAGCCAGTTTCATTATGACTCTTACTTCTTGATATCATCCTCATAAGATATTTTCTTTGACTGATTTATTTTTACAAAAAATGGTTGTTACTGAAGATTCTTTGCCCAGCCTAGAAGCCATCTTGAACTATTCAATTTTCAACAGTGAAAAAGACCTGCTATCCCAGTTCGATGCCATTCCAGGCAAAAAAGGCACCCGTGTTTTCATTTGGAATGTCCGGAGGTATGGTATTTCAGGGGTGTTAGATTCTAATAAGCCAGCATTGTATGATAAAGTACATTTTGAGAAGTATTTTCTAGATTAGATTAGGTACATAGTGAGAAAGTTAGCTCTCTGTAACTTCCTTGATTCTGTTGAAATAGTGGTTCTCGGTGATCAAATGGTGCGTATATAAGATGAAAATATGCATATCCTGAGGTTGTAGCCAATAATGATCATGATAAGACAACACAGCATTACTGTGACATCCACAGAATCCTTTACACTTCCATTCCATGTTTATTGACATTGCTTTAAGATTGGCAGATGATGGTTATTTTATGCATTCACCAATTAAAATGAATTAATAAGAATGATTATACTGAAATACTTAGTTTTTAAGTGATAGCATGAAAAGAAGAAATTCTGTATTTATGCATCTGGAATAGACAATCTATGAAGCAGGTCATTTTTACTGTAATGAAGCTGTATTAAGATCATAACTTTAAAGATAATACAACAATTAAGAGAAATTCTACGATGCATCTTTTAATTTTGGCATGGCAAATAGGATACATTTAAGAGTGCACTAAAGTGTAAACACACAACCCTAATAGCTTTTAATGTAGCATTGAATGATTATGTGTTTAATAGAACAATTCACAAATATGTTCATTTTTTCCCTATATGTCAAGCACTTTTCTAACTTCTTAGCTGTGTGTGTGTGTGTGTGTGTGTGTGTGTGTGTGTTAAAAGAATACTGGTTTATACCAACAGTGTAATTATAATTAAAAATAAAAGGTAAGGAGAGCTCATATGTCCTATTGAGAAAAGCTTAATGATATGATGTGTATAATAACAAGGGACTGTTCTGATGTGGTATTTTCAATGATATACACATATTAAACACACTTTCCCTTTGTGCATTGTTCCTCAGTTATAATTAAAATTATTTGCATGGTTAAATAATGTTGAGAAAAGCTGCCTTAAAGCCTACGGTATTGCTTTCTTGAAAGACTTTAGACACATTCATGTGCTAATATTTAAGATAGTATTATAGTATTAGTATACCCATTTTTTTTGAAAGAAAAAAAAAGAAATTCCCGCCTCCCATTTCCCTCCCCCTCCTCCCTCCCCTCTCCCCCTCTCCCACTATTCTCCCCCTCCCTCTCCAGTTTGAAGAGCAGTCAGGGTTCCCTGCCCTGTGGAAAGTCCAAGGTCCTACCCCCTCCATCCAGGTCTAGGAAGGTGAACATCCATACTGGCTAGGATCCCACAAAGCCAGAGCATGAAGTAGGATCAAAACCCAGTGCCACTGTCTTTGGCTTCTCATCAGCCCTCATTGTCCTCCATGTTCAAAGAGTCCGGTTTTATCCCATGCTTTTTCAGTCACAGTCCAGCTGGCCTTGGTGAGCTCCCAATAGATCAGCCCCACTGTCTCAGTGGGTGGGTGACCCCCTCGCGGTCCTGACTTCCTTGCTCATGTTCTCCCTCCTTCTGCTCTTCATTGGGACCTTGGGAGCTCAGTCCAGTGCTCCAGTGTGGGTCTCTATCTCTATCTCCATACATCGCCAGATGAAGGTTCTATGGTGATATGCAAGATATTCATCAGTATAGCTATAGGATAGGGTCATTTCAGGTTCCCTATCCTCAGCTGCCCAAAGAGCTAACTGGGGACATCGCCCTGGGCACCTGGGAGCCCCTCTAGGTTCAAGTCTCTTGCCAACCCTACGATGGCTCCCTTAATTCAGTTATGTGATTCCTTGCTTCTCTATCTAACCTTCCTTTCTCCCAATCATCCCGTTTCCCCAAGTTTCCCCCATTCTCCCCTTCTTAATTTTCTCTCCCCATCTCCCCTTACCCCTGTCCCACCCCACTCCCAAGTTCCCAATTTTTTTGCCCTGTAATCTTGTCTACTTCCCATACCCAGCATAACAACTATATGTTTTTCTTTGGGTTCACCTTCTTATTTAGCTTCTTTAGGATCACAGATTATAGACTCAATGACCATTATTTGTGGCTAGAAACCAATTATGAGTGAGCACATCCCATGTTCCTCTTTTTGGGTCTGGCTTACCTCACTCAGGATAGTGTTTTCTATTTCCATCAATTTGCATGCAAAATTCAAGAAGTCGTTGTTTTTTACCGCTGAGTAGTACTCTAATGTGTATATATTCCATACTTTCTTCATCCATTCTTCTATTGAAGGACATCTAGGTTGTTTCCAGGTTCTGGCTATAACAAATAATGGTGCTATGAACATAGTTGAACAAATGCTTTTGTCATATGATAGGGCATCTCTTGGGTATATTCCCAAGAGTGGTATTGCTGGGTCCAGGGGTAGGTTGATCCCGAATTTCCTGAGAAACCAAAACACTGATTTCCACAGTGGTTGCACAAGATTGCATTCCCACCAGCAATGGATGAGGGTACCCCTTCCTACACAACCTCTCCAGCAAAGGCTATCATTGGTGTTTTTGATTTTAGCCATTCTGACAGGTGTAAGATGATAGATATCTCAAAGTTGTTTTGATTTGCATTTCCCTGATTGCTAAGGAGGTTGAGCATGATCTTAAGTGTCTTTTGGCCATTTGAAATTCTTCTGTTGAGAATTCTCTGTTCAGTTCCGTGCCCCATTTTTTAATTGGGTTAATTAGCATTTTAAAGTCTAGTTTCTTGAGTTCTTTATATATTTTGGAGATCAGACCTTTGTCTGTTGCAGGGTTGGTGAAGATCTTCTCCCAGTCAGTAGGTTGCCTTTTTGTCTTAGTGACAGTGTCCTTTGCTTTACAGAAGCTTCTCAGTTTCCCTTAATGTCTGTGCTGCTGGGGTTATACATAGGAAGCAATCTCCTGTGCCCATCTGTTGTAGTGTACTTTCCACTTTCTCTTCTATCAGGTTCAGTGTGTTCAGATTGTTATTGAGGTCTCTGATCCATTTGGACTTGAGTTTTGTGCATGGTGATAGATATGGGTCTATTTTCATTCTTCTACAGGTTGACAACCAGTTCTGCCAGCACCATTTGTTGAAGATACATTCTTTATTCCATTGTATGCTTTTAGCTCCTTTATCAAAACTGAAGTGTTCATAGGTTTGTGGGTTAAAATCTGGATCTTCTATACGATTCCATTGGTCGACTTCTCTGTTTTTATGACAATACCACATTGTTTTCATTACTGTAGCTCTGTAATAGAGTTTGAAGTCAGGGATGGTAATGCCTCCAGAAGTTCCTTTATTGTATAAGATTGTTTTGGCTATCCTAGGTTTTTTGTTTTTCCATATAAAGTTGATTATTGTCCTCTCAAGATCTGTGAAGAATTTTGATGGGACCTTGATGGGGATTGCATTGAATCTATAAATTGCCTTTGGTAGAATTGTCATTTTTACTATGTTGATCCTCCCAATCCAAGAGCAAGGGAGATCCTTCCATTTTCTGGTATCCTCTTCAATTTCTTTCTTCAATGCCTTAAAGTTCTTGTCAAATAGATCTTTCACTTTCTTGGTTAGAGTTACCCCAAGATATTTTATGCTATTTGTGGCTATCGTGAAAGGTGATGCTTCTCTGATTTCCCTCTCTGCTTCCATATCCTTTGTGTATAGGAGGGTGACTGATTTTTTGGAGTTGATCTTGTATCCTGCCACATGACTAAAGGTGTTTATCAGATGTAGGAGTTCTTTGGTGGAGTTTTTGGGGTCGCTTATGTACACTATCATATCATCTGCAAACAACGAAAGTTTAACTTCTTCCTTTCCAATTCGAATCCCCTTGATCCCCTTATGTTGTCTTATTGCTATTGCTAAAACTTCAAGCACTATATTGAAGAGGTATGGAGAGAGTGGACAGCCCTCATTTTAGTGGGATGGCTTTGAGTTTCTCTCCGTTTAATTGATTTTAGCTGTCGGCTTGCTGTAAATAGCTTATATTATATTTAGGTATGACCCTTGTATCCCTAATCTCTCCAAGACTTTTATCATAAAGGGATGTTGAATTTTGTCAAATGGTTTTTCAGCATCTAATGAAATGATCATATGTTTTTTTTCTTTCAGTTTATTTATATGATGGATTACATTGATAGATTTTCATATGTTGAACCAGCCCTGCATCTCTGGGATGAAGCCTACTTGATCATAATGGATAATTTTTCTAATGTGTTCTTGGATTTGGTTTGCCAGTATTTTGTTGAGGATTTTTGCGTCGATGTTCATGAGTGAGATTGGCCTGTAATTCTCTTTCTTGGTTGAGTCTTTGTGTGTTTTTGGTATCAGAGTAACTGTAGCTTCATAAAAGGAATTTGGCAATGACTCTTGTGTTTCTATATTGTGAAATACATTAAGCAGTATAGGTATTAGGTCTTCTTGGAAGTTCTGGTAGAATTCTGCATTGAAACCATCTGGTCCTGGTCTTTTTTTTGGAAGGGAGGTTTTTGATAACAGCTTCTAATTCTTCATGACTAACAGGTCTATTTAGATTTTTCACCTGGTCTTGGTTTAACTTTGGTATATGGTACTTATCTAAAAAATTTCCATTTCTTTTTTATATTCCAGATTTGTGGCATACAGGCTTTTGTAGTAAGATCTAATGATTCTCTGAATTTCCTCTGTGTCTGTGGTTATGTCCCCTTTTCATTTCTGATCTTATTAATTTCCAAATTCTCTCTCTGCCGTTTGATTAGTTTGGATAGGGGTTTATCAATCTTGTTGATTTTCTCCAGGAACCAGCTTTTTGTTTCATTGATTCTTTGGATTGTTTTCTGTGTTTCTATTTTATTGATTTCAGCCCTCAGTTTGATTATTTCCAGTCTTCTACTCCTCCTAGGTGAGTCTGCTTCTTTTTTTTCTAGAGCTTTCAGGTGGGCTGTTAAGTCTCCAATGTGTGCTTTCTCCGTTTTCTTTAAGTGGGCACTTAGTGCTATGAGCTTTCCTCTTAGGACTGCTTTCATAGTGTCCCATAGGTTTGAGTATATTGTTTCTTTATTTTCATTGAATTCAAGGAAGACTTTAATTTCTTTCTTTATTTGTTCTTTGATCCAGGTATGGTTCAGAAGTTGACTGTTCAGTTTCCATGAGTTTGTAGGCTTTCTGGGGGTAGCATTGTTGTTGAATTCTAACTTTAATCCATGGTGATCTGATAAGACACAGGTAGTTACTAATATTTTTTTGTAACTGTGTAAGTTAGCTTTGTTACCGAGTATGTGGTCAATTTTCGAGAAGGTTCCATGAGCTGCAGTGAAGAAGGTATATTCTTTCCTCTTCGGGTGGAATAATCTATAGATGTCTGTTAAGTCCATTTGCTTCATTACCTCCATTAATTCTCTAATTTCTCTGTTAGGTTTCTGTTTGATTGACCTGTCCATTGGTGAGAGAGGAGTGTTGAAGTCTCCTACTATTAGTGTGTGTGGTTTGATGGCTGCCTTGAGTTTTAGTAATGTTTCTTTTAATACGTGGGCGCTTTTATATTAGGGGTGTAGATATTCAGGATTGAGACTTCATCCTGATAAATTGTTCCTGTTATGAGTATAAAATGTCCCTCTCCATCTCTTCTGATTGATTTAAGTTTGAAGTCAACTTTGTTAGAAATTAGTATGGCCACACCTGCTTGTTTCTTAGGTCTATTTGCTTGATAAGCCTTTTCCCAGCCCTTTACTCTGAGTAGGTGCCTGTCTTTGTGGTTGAGGTGTGTTTCTTGTAGACAGCAGAATGTTGGATCCTGTTTTCGTATCCAATCCCTTAGCCTGTGCCTTTTTATAGGTGAGTTGAGCCCATTGACATTAAGTGATATTAATGACCAGTGGTTGTTAACTCTGGTCACTTTTTTAGTAGTAGTTTGTGTGTTTCCCTTCTTGGAGTTGTGCTGGTGAAGGGTCTCTAGATGTCTGAGTTATTGTGGTCATTGTTGGGCTCCTTAGTTAGTGATTTTCCTTCTATTACTTTCTGTACGGCTGGATTTGTGGCTACGTATTATTTAAATTGGTTTTTATCCTGGAAAATTTTGTTTTCTCCATTGAGAGTGAACGATAGCTTGGCTGGGTATAGTTGTCTGGGCTTGCATCCATGGTCTCTTAGTTTCTGCAGTACATCTATCCAGGACCTTCTGGCTTTCTTGGTTTCCATAGAGAAGTCAGGTGTAAGTCTGATAGGTTTACCTTTATAAGTAACTTGGCCCTTTTCCTTTGCAGCTCTTAATATTCTTTCTTTATTCTGTATGCTTTGTGTTTTGATTATTATATGGCGAGGGGATATTTTTTTTTTTGATCCAGCCCATTCGGTGTTCTGTATGCTTCTTGAACCTTCATAGGTATATCTTTCTTTAGGTTGGGAAAGTTTTCTTCTATAATTTTATTAAATATATTTTCTGGACTGTTGAGCTGCACTTCTTCTTCTACTCCTATAATCTTAGGTTTGGTCTTTTTATTGTGTCCCATATTTCCTGAATGTTTTGTGATGAAAGTTTGTTAGACTTGCTGTTATCTTTGATCAGTGCATTTATTTTCTCTATGTTATCTTCAGAATCTGAGATTCTTTCTTCTATCTCTTGTATTCTGCTGGTTATGCTTGTTTCTGTAGTCTCTATGCGTTTACCTAGATTTTCCATGTCCAGCCGGCCCTCTGTTTGTGTTTTCTTCCTTGTCTCCAATTCAGTTTTCAAGTCTTGAACTGTTTTCATTATCTGTTTGATTGTTTTTCCTTGGTTTCCTAGGGTATCATTCACTGCTTTATTCAATTCTTCAAACTTTCTGTTATACTTCTCGTCCATTTCTATAAGGGCATATTTTACATGCTGTTTAAGGATGTCAATCACTTTCATAAAGTCCATTTTTTCTACTTCTTCTTAATTAAGGTGTTCATGTCCTACTGTTGTGAGTTCGCTGGGTTCTGGTGGTTTCATATTCTTTTTCAGATTGTTGGGTGAATTCTTGCATTGGTGCCTGCCCATCTCTTCCTCCGAATGCTCCCCTAAGGATCTTCTTTTACAGGATAAGGTCTCCTTGCCCACTGATGTACCTTCCCAGTGTTGGCACTCTCCTGTGATGGCTATTTAGGTGCCCCAGTGATGACTCTCCTGGTGCCGAGATCAGATCTCTGTGCTGGTTTGGTAGCTCATAAGTAAAGTGCCTACCTTGCTTGCTGCAGGCAGGCTATTGAAACAAAGGAATTCCTGCCCGCCCCGCTGCCCTTCAGATTCGATCCCAGCACCCAGACAGGCTGAGCTGGGTGATGTTATATGCCCAAAGACAGCAGGGAGGCAGAAGTGGGGAGGGTTCTAGATGCAAGCTGGGTGAGATTGGAAGAGAGAGGCAGTATGCAGGAGTATAGGCCCTGCAGGAAGTAGTTCCTTGTCCCTGGCAGCTGCCGTGAGTCAGAAACTCACTCACCCCAGAGATGGTTCTCCTGGTGCCCAGATCAGATCTCCTATGGTTGGGTAGCTCATAAACAAAGCGCCTACCTTGCTTGCTGCAGGCAGGCTATTGAAACAAAGGAATCCTCGCCTGCCAGGGTGCCCTTCGGATTCTATCCCAGTGCCCAGACAGGCTGAGCTGGGTGATGTTATGCGCCCAAAGATGGCAGGGAGGCAGAAGTGGGGAGGGTTCTGGATGCAAGCTGGGTGAGATCTATATCCATTTTTTTTTAAAAAAATGTTTTTCCAGACCTTTTTTCTTGGATGGCAAAGGCAAGGGGCAGGGAAGATAGGGGCTTTTCTCAGAGTGTAGTGTCTGTACTAGAGTATTCTAGGATAGTAAGAATCACAGATACACTGAAAAATCCAGGATCCAATTTTAATGTGGTGTGGGCTTTATACAGGCTGGATGCCACAGTGGTCCCTGGTCAGCTTTGAGAGTGGAGCTAAGTTTTCAGCCTAGCAACTCTGAGCTTGAATTTGAATATGAAGGGGGTTAACATTAGAGCCTGAGGTGCCTCTATAAGCTAAGAGTTGTGTTTCAATTTTATTTGTTCACATAACTTTTATTTCTTTTTTTCTTAATTAAGAATATCTCCAGGAACTACTGTTCCACAGAATGAATTTCGAAAACTATTGTTTTATAACAGCGATTGTCTCTGTAATCTGTCTTTTAAAAAACAAATTTAGAAAGTTTTTTTTTATTTTCAGGAACAAAGGTGATTCTTTATGGTTTTCCCCCTGCTATTGAATGGAGAGCTTGCCATTGTCTTGGAGGGAAGTAGCCTTTCAAGTACTTAGAAAGCTAAGTACCCCAAAAAAGATTGAGAGTAAGAAATGTCCATATGAAAGGGATACCAGTGTTCTTATATGTGTACTATCATTCCATATTTTAGAGGCTAGAAAATAGGTGGTGTTCTGTAGTAGCAGTAGTAGTAGGTCTCTCTCTCTCTCTCTCTCTCTCTCTCTCTCTGTGTGTGTGTGTGTCTGTGTGTGTGTGTGTGTGTGTGTGTGTGTCTGTGTTGCCTTTTAGCCATGTAAGTCCTAGTGCTAGGCCAGGCATCATGATGGTGCATGCTTTTAATCACAGCACTTCAGAAGAGGTTGATGGATTTCTCAGAGTTTGAGGCCAGCCTGGTCTATAAAAGTAAGTTCTAGGTCAGTCTGAGATACATAGTGAGACCCTGTCTTAGGGGTGGGGAGATACAGGACTAGATCTGGGGGAAATGCTGGCATCTTATTAGTTCCTATTCTGCTGCTGAAGCCAGCAGAAATTGACTTGGGTGGATATGATCATTAAGTTGGAACAAGTGCTATTTAATGACTTCTTTGGCAGCCGTCAGAAAGCTGGTATTTAAGATCTTGCTTTGAGGGTAGCTGACATCCGTTCTACTCATCAGATCCCAGATATTTAACACTCCTTTTTGTCTTTCCTTATGAACCTGGCATCAGCAGCACTGTGAAACAGGGTAGATTGATTCAGAACAGGAACAACTTAATTACGGTGTGGTCCTCAAATTGCATAGTTCATAGTTCCTTTGGAGTGGCAGTCAGAAAAAGCATCATATACCTGAGTATTGACTTATATTTCACTTGTGTTGAGTTCTTAATGCATCCCCCACCCCCGCGAGCCCGCTGGAGCCAGTTCTTTAAATTGGTACTTGTCTATTTTACTTAGAAACAAAGATGGAAAGTCTGAGCTGGACTTTGATACAGATCAATATGATATCCTAGTATCAGACTTCGATGCTGAAGAAAAGGAGATTGGTGGTGTTCCCTCCAAAACGCCAGAAACAGAGTATTCCCTACGGGTGAGTGAGAATAGTCCTTCAGCCGTGAGAAGTACGATTTCCTATAATGTGAAAATATCGTATAACAGAATTGAAGCACAGGTGTGTAGAGATGATACTCTGCTGGGATATCTTTTCACCGTCTACGCTAAAGCAGTTCGTGAATATAGCTACTTCCATCTCGGAATGGTAGCTAATGCTTTGTGAAAATGTACAGTAACTCAGCCAAGTATTTGCAAGCGAAGTTGGCTGGTGACGATTTGGGGTCACTCCCATCACATTTGATTAAAAAGTTTTAGTTGGCGTTGTTCAGCTTACAGTTTATGTTGTACTTGGTCCAGATTTAGACTTGGATGCGAATTAGTGAGTGGAAATTAAAGGTATTTCTAGGAGGAGATGAATCACCCTCAAGCTCGGCATGGATTTCCTGGGAACTTTTCATAATGACAGCCATCCAGAAGAGCGCTTGCTCATTTTCTACACCTCATTGCACTGCAAGTGGATGTCACATACTAGGGACATTCTGGCGATGAGTTGCATTAACCATTGTCATTGGTGTTGGTGGGGGGATAGTCTTCAGAAGACAGAGAACTCAAGTATTTATGAAAACTTGCTTTTTTATTTTCTAGTAACTAAAAATACAACTCTTGGCCCTATAGACATGTTCTCTGCATTTTTCAAATCAAGACATTATTTTCCTTGGTCTTTTTTCTTACTGCCACAATTAGAAATTGTTCATTTAAAATAAACTGTGTAGTTAGTACTCACAGTGGATTTTTTTTCCTTTTTGGAAACACATACCTTCTCTACTAGGAAGTTTTCTCTTAAAGCCCTACATAAACTGTGTAGATAGTACTCACAGTGGATTTTTTTTCCTTTTTGGAAACACATACCTTCTCTACTAGGAAGTTTTCTCTTAAAGCCCTACATAAACTGTGTAGATAGTACTCACAGTGGATTTTTTTTCCTTTTTGGAAACACATACCTTCTCTACTAGGAAGTTTTCTCTTAAAGCCCTACATAAACTGTGTAGTTAGTACTCACAGTGGATTTTTTTTCCTTTTTGGAAACACATACCTTCTCTACTAGGAAGTTTTCTCTTAAAGCCCTACATAAACTGTGTAGTTAGTACTCACAGTGGATTTTTTCCTTTTTGGAAACACATACCTTCTCTACTAGGAAGTTTTCTCTTAAAGCCCTACATAAACTGTGTAGTTAGTACTCACAGTGGATTTTTTTCCTTTTTGGAAACACATACCTTCTCTACTAGGAAGTTTTCTCTTAAAGCCCTACATAAACTGTGTAGTTAGTACTCACAGTGGATTTTTTCCTTTTTGGAAACACATACCTTCTCTACTAGGAAGTTTTCTCTTAAAGCCCTACATAAACTCAACTTAGAGTCAGGGCTAGCAAGTGAGCTCGTCATTTATAACTTCACCTTGTGTAGGTTAAGACTGTAGTGCTGTGCATTTAGCAGAGTCCTTCCAACTGCATGTTTTCCTGCTTCTATTTTACAATATGTCCCTTTCCCGAGCGTGGATTCTTCCTGTTGGGGGTTTCTATCAGGCCAACTTCAGTGCTTCTTTTCTGGATTTCTCTCAGCCCCTCTCCTGTGAATTCAGTTATCTTCTCACACTACAGTTCTAGCTAAACAGCATCACTGTTGGCGTGACGGAAATGAAATCCCAAGGACTGGAACTATTTCCCTGATTTATTTCTTCTTCGGTCATCAGAAAAGCCGTACCGCTCTTCTCTGTGCTCTGCATACAAATTCCGTACATTTCCCCACAGGGTACCCTCGGCCCATTCCTCACGATTTTAAATGTGTACAGCAAAAAAAATAATAATAATTTGACAATCATTATCATTAAAATGTCAGTTTTGTGGTGTGAGAGTTTTGATTGATTTGGGAAAGTAGAAAACTTAATTTATTTCTTTTGTTTTGTTTTGGAATAAGATCCTATTTGAAGTTTGTCTTGAGTTCCTAGAACCCAGAAACTTGATATGTTCTGAGTCAAATATTAGAGTACTAGGTTTACCAGTTGTATCACATTTCCCATCCTATCTAATCCATTTATCATGTGGTATTGATGTACATAGCTTGTCATTTACAGAGACTGTGTAAGGTATTTTTTTTTATTTCTGTGACAGATAGTAAGAGAAACTAAGGAAAGAAAGGTTTATTTTAGCTCATGCTTTCAGAGATTCAGTCCATTGTGCAAGAAAGAGACGGTGTAGCTAGCTTACAAAAGTAGTTGAAAAAGTAGAGCAAGCAGTGGTGGTGCACGCCTTTAATTCCAGCACTTGGGAGGCAGAGGCAGGTGGATCTCTGTGAGTTCGATGCCAGCCTGGTCTACAAGAGCAAGTTCCAGAATAGCCAGGCTGTTCCTGTCTCAAAAAAATAAAAATGTAGAACAAGCAATTGCTTGTGTTTTTAAATACCTTCTTGAAGGTTTACATTGGTTCACATGTAATGACATTTGGTGGAAATTTTGTTTTTATAATACTTTTCTTTTCTCCTGAAACCTCTAGTGTTTGTCTCCTTAATGATTTTCTTCTCAGAATAAGCAGGTGAAAATCACTTTTGGATTCTCTTGCAAATACCATAACCAGTTTGGAGTAATGATGTATCATAACAACCGCCTTATTAAGGCCTTTGAGAAGGTGGGCTGCCAGTTAAAGGTGAGTGGCTACTGTTGCTTTGTCATAGAGGCCTGCAAAGAATGGGAAGAGAATCGCAGGGAAGACAGATTCATTAATGGTTTTCAGCCCCATGTCATGTCATTTATTAGATTCTGATGCTGAAACTCTGCATCAATAGACAAGGAGTCCTGTGTGGGAAAAAAAAAACCCTGTTATTTCTCAGGTGCTGACAGGCCAACTAGGTATCTATTCTTAAAGAGTAGAATTCTGTCCCACCATGTGTATCAGCTTATTAACGTGTCAAATAGCTCTAATTATTATCTTGTGGTGACAGTAAAGGTATATTGGAAGGTTCATAACATTTAGTGGTTGGAAATCAAGATTTGTGCCCTATCTATAAAACATATCCCTGGGTAAATCAAGTAATTCCTTTGAAGTTCAATTTCCATGCTAGAAAAGTGGGAAAAGTTTTATTTATCTTCCTTTAAGTTTAGAAGGTTAAAAGGGATTGATTGTGATAAATGATACGAAATATTTCCTAAGCCAAGTACCACAAATGCTACCATTATCTTTGATGCTTTAATGATCATTTAGAGTAGTGATTTTTGCAAGCAACTGTTTCATTCCTGGTCTGAAGATCAGGTGGCTGATACACAGTGGATGTCACACTGCTTTGTGTGACATGGTAGGACAGTTGTCTAAGCCCCAGGAGAGCTGACTGTGAGGCCTTGGTTTTTCCTGTTGCATCATCTTTAAACAACTTCTGGTTATGTGTCAGGAAAGAGTAAAGCACACTTTAAAACGCCCAAATCTCTTGCACTTCACCTCTGACTCTGGGAGTTCCTTGGTGCCTTGTCTATGTGTGGAAACGCCCTATGTTATAAGATTCGGTGTGCTGATTACACCACACCTCTAGTTTCTGGAGAAGGCTTCATTTCAGTTCTGCAGAGCATTAGTATATGGTCTTGGTTTTTTAGTAGTGTAAGTTCTTTATTCCAGTGAACTTCTTGGCAGTCTTAGAATATGAGACACACGACAAGTGAAGTTGCGTGGATGAAGTATAGATAGTTACTATAGCTGAGGAATTCTAGGGATCTGTGAATCATTGTTTGAACAATCTGAGAGACAGAAAGGGGGTGGATCCAGATGGGCGGGGAGGTAGAGGAGAACTGAAGGACTGGGAAGAGTAGAGGGAGGGGAAACCCATAACTGGGATATATTACATGAAAAAAAGTCTATTTTCAATGGATAAAAAAAGAAAAGAAAAGAAAATCTATGCTGTTGCACTGGTCAGGATCCAATCTATTCTAAGTGTTCCTCAGCATCTTCATGGCCTTTCCTTACCCATGAATACTGTGTAACCTTTTCCATTATTTTTTGGAATCAAAAGGAAATGCCTCTGGGCTGTCAATAGTAATGTGTTGAAATTAACATTTTCTTCTAAGCCAACTTGTGGAGAAGGTGTGGGAGTAATTGGAGTCATTGAGTGCAATTTCCTAAAACCTGCCTACAACAAACAAGACTTTGAGTATACCAAGGAGTACCGGTGAGTCACTCTCAACCTCAGATCTTTCTGATAAATCACTCAGGTACTGTTCTGCTCTCTGCACTTTCTAAAGCGCCACTAAAAGCCAGACGGAGACGCTAACTCACAATGGCTTCTTCAAGTATATTTTCCAAGATTAGAGATGAGTTTGCTCTTTCTCATTTTACCTTTAGAAATTAACAAATATAGAAGTATTTTGACAAACTATTTCTGGTAAAGTGAAGGACCTTGTCTTTCATTACAGCACATTTTGGGGCGAGAAATTGAAATTTGCCCATCAGTTTTCTAGACGCCAGTGAACACTTTCAGACATGTTAGAACAAGGAAGTGCTCTCATGGAAGCATCTAGGGAAGACAACATAGCTCAGGATCAGAAAGGAACTTGACATTGACATTAAACCAATAGGGATATTTTGGGAATTAAAGAAAGGAATTGTTAAAATCGGGCTGAAAATAGGTTTGGGGTTTAAGATACAGCTCAATAGTAGAATGCTAGCTTAGTACGCAGGAGACCCTAGATCTGATACCTCTTATGTGTTAGGTAAAGGACATAGGATGAAAAATTAGAATCCTTGATTGTTATGAACACATGTGGTATATGAAAATGTGGAACTTAAATACACATAAATAACTAATGTGTATATGCAAGCTGAAGAGAATCTTTATTTGTTTGTTTATTGTTTTTCAAGATATTATTCCTCTGTGTGCCCCTGGTTGTCCTGGAACTCACTCTGTAGACCAGGCGAGCCTCAAACTCACAGAGATCCACCTGCGTGCGCCACCACTTCCTAGCTGAGGAAAACTTTTAAATATGCCTAAAGAAAATCAAGGAAAGCTTCACAAAACAAATTAGATTTGAGCTTAAACTTAAAGGAAAAACTGGTGTTTTCTCGGTGAACTAATGAGAAGGGTACTCTAGAGCAGTGTTTCTCAACCTTCCTGATTTTGCGACCCTTTAATACAGTCCCTCATGTTGTGGTGACCCCAACCATAGCATTATTTCACCACCACTTCATAACTGTAATTTTGCTACTGTTATGAAACATAATGTGAATAGTTTTGGAGATAGTTTGTCAAAGGAGTTGAGACCCCAGGCTGAGAACCACTGTTGGGAGCAAAGTAGAGTATGGGTAATGGCACAGAAAAGCCAGGGATGTTCGTGGGATGTGAAGAAAGAGAAGATGGGAGAACATTGAGTATCATTCAATTTAAAATCCCAGCAGTATTTTTTTCTAAGCGTGGGAGGAAAAAATCATTTCTCAGAAATATTTTCTGTGATCCAAGCTACAACAAAATTAATTAAATGTTCCTTCATTTAATTGAGACTGCAAGAGTTTGAGATGCAGGATTTGACAAAGAGATAGCAATTTGAATGGCAATTCCAAATTAATTTCAGCACAATTGGGTTTTAGTCGCTCAGGCTTATCAGTGGTTATGGCAACGGTGTGCTCTGGAGCCAAATAAATTAATCATTTAAATGTGAGTCTGACCCATAATGAAGACCTTTAACCAAGACTTATCTCCTAAATGTGAAAGTTTAGAAATAACATTGGTTTAATGGAACCAGATATTCTTTCTTTTGAGTGAAAGTGATGAATTTATGATAATTACCTAAATAATATTTGTGAAGTTCAAATGTTAGACATTAAAATGTTTTAGCAGCTTTCCATATTATTGTTGCCAATGTACCAACCATAAAAATCTATATTTTTTCTTTTGAATACATTAGACATTTGGCTTTGGATGCCTAGTTTTTGTATGATGAATCTGAGGTGATTGTAGAGAGTTCACATAAAGGCATTCTATAAGCATGTAGGATTTCTGCTTTCGTAATTTAATCGTTACTGCACATTTATTTTCGTAAAAACAGAATGGCAGCACTCGCATACATAGAGCTTTGGGCGTAATAAATTTGCCAGTTCAGGCATCATTGCTATCTCTTTTTAAAATATTTATTTTTCTTTTATGTGTATATTTCCTGTGTGTGTATAAGTGTATCATATGTGTGCCCAGTGATGGTGCATGGCAGAAGAGAACAAGTCCCCTGGAACTGACCTTGTAGACAGTTGTGAGCTGCTGTATGGAAGCTGATAACAGAACCTGGGTCCTTCTCCAAGAGCAGCAACTACACTTAACACTGACTCCTCTATTTAGCCCAATTTTTTTAAAGACAAGACCTCATATAGTTTATATGTCTCATATAGTTCATGCTTGCTTCAAACTCACTATGTAGCTGAAGGTAGCTTTGAATTCTTGTGCTTCGGCCCTACAGCTCACAAGTGTTATGATGAAAAGACTGAATCATCATGCCCTATGCCTTTATGCTGGGAACTAAACCCACATACGTAACTGGAAGTTTCTCTCCCGCACGCTAGATCCCAAATAATCACTCTGAGGTTTAATATTAATTACAAACTGGTTGGACTGTTGGCTCAGGCTTAATATTAACTAGCTCTTACAACTTAAATTAACCCATTTTTACCGTTCTATATTTACCACAAGGCTTGTAGCTTTTTACCTTTAGCTTTCTTCTTGGCCAGCTGCTGGCATTGCCCTCTATTCCACCTTCTTTCTCCTTCTATCTCTGCTGGGATTTTGTGCCTAGCTGTATTCTGCCTTGCCATAAGCCAAAGCAGCTTTATTCTTCAGCCAATAAAGGCAACACATTTACAGCATACAGAAGGCTGTCCCACATCACACATATATAAGCACAAATCTATTACTGAGTTATATCCCCAGCCCTATTGACGTTTATCTAAACTTCATACAAAATAAGAAAGATTTTAGATAAAATCATGGGAATTTGAAAACAAATATGGGGGCATAGACTGCTAATCCCAACACTCAGGGTCTATGGCAATGGGATCGTGAATTCAAGGCCAACCTGGGCTACAGAATGAGTTCTTGGGCAGCCTCATCTACATAGCAAGAACCTCCATTTCCTTTGTCCCTGTCAAAAATCTGAATTTGAGAGGATTAGACAATATTGCTGTCACAAATTCCTGTGACTGTTACAAAAGTAGAAATGATAAAGGAAATATAAGTTATTATACTACTAAAATATCTACAAAGAAATAATCGTAATACATCACTATGAACCATCTGGATATTAGATTTTAGCTATAAATATCATGGTTGAAGCTTAAAACATTTTTAGAGTCAATTTCACCTTAAAAAATGCAATCAAAGCATATTAACTGAGCAAGACATTAACACATAACACAGTGACTAAGTTTTGTAGAATCTTCCAAAGAATTTCAAAACAGAGTTGCTTAAGGGCTTTGCATTCTGTTTGTAATAATAGATCATCACCACACATTAAAAACAACTAAATAGCAGTAAAATGGCTCATAGACCTCTTTGGTGCTGTGCAGGGAAAATGCTCTGATGAGACAGATAAGGAAAGTTTTAGGTAGATGATGTGATTTAAGGTAGCCTTAAGTGGATCTATGAGTTCATGACCAGCCTGGTCTATGGAGCGAATTTCAGGACAGTCAAGGTTGCACGGAGAAACCCTGTCTCAAAAAAATGCAAACAGACAAAAGAGATATTCCCTAAAAGGTACAAGACTAGAGCTGTAGAGAGATGGTTCTGTGGCTAAGAGCTCTGGCTGCTCTTCCAGGTGACCCAGATTTGATTCCCAGCACTCACATGATGGCTCACAACTGCCTGTAACTATAGCTCCTGGGGATCCAGCAGCTACTTCTGGCCTCCATGGGCACAAGGGACAGATGTGGTGTACATACATGCATGCAGAGGAAACACCCACATGTATAAATAAATAATAAACAATTAAAAGGATACAGGATGCAGAAAAGGAAGGGAATTCTAGTATAGAGTTGTGGCATGACAAGAACTCTAAAGGGGAAGTGGAGATGAGGTGATATACTAGAGTGAAGAAAATCAAACAAAGTGGATAATGTAGGGCCATGTCCTAAAGCAGAGACTATCAAGTATTTTCTGAGAAGGCCAGAGAGAAATATTTGGGCTTTTGTAGGCCACACACAGTCTCTTTCCAAACTTTTTAATTCTGTCATAGTATGAAAGTATACATTGACAGAAAGTAAAGGAGTGAGTATTGTTCCAGCACAGTTTTGTTCACAAAAAAAGGCAGTGAGGGCTGGAGAGATGGCTCAGCCATTAAAGGCTAGGCTCACAACCAAAAAAGGCAGTGAGTTCAGGCTATAGTTAGCACACACTTTTCTTAGAACCCTATATCTGAACTATGTGCCAAGTTATATCTAATGGATTCAGAGGAATCAGACAATAATTTACATTTTAGGGAAGAACAGTATGCTCAACTTCTGTCTGCAAGCAGCGGAAAGCATCTTCTATTGTAAAAATTTACCATAAATTTAGTAGCTTAATATAACACTAATTTACTGTGTTAGAGTTCTGTAGGTTAGAAGGCTTGACTTAGATCTCACTGGGCTAAAATCGAGGTGTTGGCAGGCTGTCTTCCTTTCTGGAGACTCTAGGGGAGAATCCGATTCCTTTTCTTTTCCAACTTTAGAGACTGCCAGCATTCCTTGGCCCAAGGCCCTCTTCTCCAACTTCAAAGTCAGCAGTGATGAGTTGCATCCTCCTTGCGTTGCATCATTCCGGTAACCCTGCTTCCATAATCACATTGCCTCCTCAGATTCTGACTCCTCTGCCTCACTCTTCCACACTTGAAGGCCCGTAGTTTCACTGTATCATTTAGAAGCTTTTCCTACTTTAAGGAGAGTCAGTGAGTAGCAGTAACTCTCTTACTGTGTATAACATAAGATAGTCACAGATTTTACTGTGTATAACCTAAGTTATTCACAGACTTTAGGAATGGGACCTAGCCATCTTTGAAAGACTATTATTTTATTTATCAGTCTGTCCTCTGATGCTTCAAGATATATTTCTTGCATTCAAAAGGTGATTGCCCTATTCCATCCCAACATCATCAAAATTTTCAGAGTCTTAAGTCTTAACTAAATGTCATCAGCTCAAAAGTATGTTAGAAGTCTTGACTCAGATCTCACTGGGCTAAAATCAAGGTGTTGGCACCTGTCTTCCTTTCTTTTTCTGTAATCACATCGCCTCCTCTGAGTCTCTCCCTCTCCCTCTGTCCCTCTGTCCCTCTGTCCCTCCTCCCTCCCCCTCCCCCTCCTACCCTCTCTCTCACACACACACACACTTTAATGCTAAAATATAATAGCAGGAGATGCACAGGACACCAGTTATATAAAAGTTCTGTGTCAAGTGGGGTTTAAATAGAAAAGAAAAAAAGAGTTATAGGCACCAAGCAATTTCATAAATCCAGCTAGGCAAATTCCATTAAATAGCAAACACAAGACATAATTTTGTGGGACTTATAACACTGGCCCATCACTAAAACTATGCCTTCAGGGCTATGGTTCAACTCTCAAAATTATCTGTTCATGAAGACTAGTATATTTTTACAGCAGAGTAGTTTTGTCAATTTTATCTTCATTAGAGTCTTTTTAGTTATTAATTTTATTTTTGTCATGATAATTGTAGCATTTTCCTTTTCCTCTCTCCAGACCCATATACTCTTCTTTGCTCTTTCAAATTCATGACTTCTGTGTCAGCAGTCATTGATACATACACGTTTGTATGCATGTATACATATGTAATCTTAATTACAGCCTGTTCCATCTGTATAACGTTACTTATAGGTATATAGTTTTAGAAATTCACTAGGATTCTTTCATTATATATTCTCCCCCATTTATTCATGTCAATTGGAGCTGAAAGTGTTTGTGCTCCTGACATCTCAAAAATCTTGTAGGTCTTCCACGGATATGATGAATATTCATTCCATTTAACAAGAGGCTCTTGACTGATCTTCCCTAGACAATCTGATTTCTCTTCTTGGCCTCAGCTGAGATGGTTGTGAAGGTCTGTGAGTCACATGCTTCATATTCCCAGAGAGCCTCGTATGTGACTGGATATTGTGACCTTTTGATCTGACTGTGATAGTAGCTAATGATTGTCCAACCCTACTCTTTATTCACAGAGCTCACAGCCCTAACAATGAATCTGTACATTTTAATATCTTTTGTGATTTTGACTGCCTGAGAACATTCCAGATTGTCAAATTCTGATTCCTTTCCCATTATTAGTTCTTTTCATGTATCTTTGCTTTCCTGCCTTTTCCATTACCAGCCAGAGGACACAACTTGAGCAGTTTTTCTGGAGATCTCCTCAGCCAGATGTACAAGTTCAGCAGGTACAAGCTCTGTGTTCCGTGGATGTACAGGATGTACATGTTTCTGCTAAGCTTTCTGTCACTATGTAGCTAGGATCATATTTCCGATTTTCCAGTAACGTGTGGGGTCATTTTCCCTGAGCCTTGATTAGAGTGGCTTTACCATCTGTCTTTCTAACTCTGTTTACAGTGATTTAGACAATCTTTAAGGCAATCTTTAGTTTCTTCTCTCCCATGCTTCTCCACTTTCTCCTGAGCCCTCATCAGTTTAGTTAACATCCATCCAGATATCGATTGCCAGTCTGCTTGATGCGATTTAGGCTCTGGCGTGTTTCTCAAACCTTTGCCAGATTTTTTAATTTTCCTTTTATTCTGTTTTTAGACAGGGTCTTGTGTAGCCTCAAGATCACTATATAGCCAAAGACAACCTTGAACTCCTGATCCCCCAAAATGTCCCAGGCTGCTAAATTTCAATTCCAAAGCAACTTCTTCATCTTTAGTTGTTTTTTCTAGTAGTACTCTGTTTCTAGGCACCACAATCTGCCATATTCTTTCCTACTGAATTTTTAAAAATATTTATGTGTATGTGCACACACGTGTGAGCATATGTAGGCTTGGGACCTGAAGATTGATAGCATGTTTTACCCACTGAACCAGATCGAGGGACCTGTATTCTTTTTGTCATATCATATTGCATCATATTTGTGAATTTGGGTTGACACCATTTGGATTTAAAGTGATCATTGGTAAGGGAAGACTTCTGTCATTTGGCAGTGTGTTTCATAGCCTCTCTCATTTCCCACATTGCTGTGTTTTATGTTTAGGTGATGTTTTATAGTGGATTGTTTAAATTCTTTTCTTGTTTCCTTTTATATACACAATCTAGCTATTTTCCACAAGTTATCATAGAGGCTACTTATAAGATGACTCTGTCTCTTTCTTTTGGCTTTTGACTTCTACAGTGCCTACGATGGACCACTGGTGGTGCCTCACATGTCCTTCAGGCTTTGTTTCCATCTCCAGTTTTCTTTATTATTGGTCATCAATTTTAGTAATTTCTTAAGGTTCCCAGATTCGTCTTTCTGTCCCACTTTGATGTAGGTGGGCCTTCTTTCTATGTGATGCTTTCATTGGTTAATTAATAAAGAAACTGCTTGGCATGATAGGTCAAAACATAGGTGGGTTGAGTAGACAGAACAGAATGCTGGGAAGAAGGAAAGTGAGTCAGACGCCATGATTCTCCTACCCAAGACGGACAGTGGTTAGACTCTTCTCAGTAAGCCACCACTTTGTGGTGGTACACAGATTATTAGAAATGGGTTAATCAAGATGTGAGAGTTAGCCAATAAGAGGATAGAACTAATGGGCCAGGAATTGTTTAAATGAATACAATTTGTGTGTTGTTATTTCGGGTATAAAGCTAGCCGTGTGGGAGGCGGGCGGGACGAAAAGCAGGCCTGCTAATCTCATCACTACACCACATTTGAATCTACCAAGTGAATGGTCTGTTCTACATTTTATTTCAGTTCTTTTTAAAAAGTTTTCTGTCTCCTTTTTGCTATTGCCTTTTTTTTCAAAACCTCTTTGAACTTGACTTTATTCACACCTTCCTTGGTTTTTTTTTTTTTTTGCATTTTTAACCCAGAACTTTTTCAGTGACTGTTTATTTGGATTTCATTTTTCTTTGATCATACCATATTTTCTAGTTTCTTTGTATGCACTGTGATTTTTATAACAATAATTCTGGAAATTAGGTTTTCCCCCTTTCCTAGGATTTGCTGTGTTGTTTTTGTTTATTTGATACCAGAGGTGTGGTATGTTATCTCTGTACCAGAGACTTGGTAGAATGTAAACTTAAAATTGTCTCACTTGTTTTCTGAACCTGTATTTTCCCTGGAAATTCAAAGTGATGTTCTAATTTTCTATATATGCATATATGTGTGGTTGTGTATGTGTATGAATGCATATGCTATGTATATACATATGTGTGTATGATTTTTTAATATCTTCATTTTTAACATCTGGCTCCCCAAACAAAAAAATATGAAGAGGTGAAAATAAAGTTTTATCGCTTTGAACATCCTGGACATCATTTCAGTTAGAGGAGAAACTTGTAATCATGGAGAATATAACAGAAAAGGCCACTTGCCCATTGTGTGATCTAAAATAGTAGCACTGAGAGCACGGAACACTATCCTTGAAGGATAGGAACCCTTTTCCCTATCATGGTTCTTATAAGTGACTTGGGAAATGCCTGAAGGATTCTCTGTCATGGCACTAGAAGTGGAGAATACCAAAAACAGAAATGGACCAAAATTAACCACAATTACCACCTAAGTGTTCCAAAATACTGATTGTTAAATATTAACTGGATTTGTTTCAGGTACTTATAACAGCTGTGCAGTAAAATGCCAAGGAAACATTTGCCCTATTAGTCTTAGTTCTCTGTGATCAGGCAGATTGTGCCAGTGCAGTTGGTATCTAGGCAAGGAGACCGATTCCACATGCCTCCTACTTACCTTCCCAGGATCCCATCACATTTTCTCCATCAAATAGACCTTGAAGAGGAAAGAGAACATGTAATATGACTTGAGGGAAGGCATTGGTAGTTGGAGAGGGATGAATTAATCTAGGAACATGCCTATGGTGATTTTAGTCTTGTGTATGTAGTGAAAATCTAACTGAAATGGGTAAGGTGGCAGTAAGGAAGAGGTGTATGGAAGAAGAGATCCGCAAACATGCCAAGTAATGATCCCAAGGGTGGAAAGAGGCTTGAAATTTCTCAAGTGTATAGTGTTCCAAGTATGTGTACATTTGCATTAAGTTATAATCTTGGGAAATAGAACTTAATAGAAATTATTCATTAGATAAGAAAGCAAACTCAGATTCAGCTTCTAACAGCAGTGTTGTAGAAAAAAGTTGAAGAAACATTTTCCATGTTACTACTGTGCTGCTGTGGTTAGTATCTGCTGATGAACTATAATGACAGATCAAGCTAATGTTTGATTGATTTTTAATAGATAAGTTTTTGTGTATGAGCCCCTAATTTTTCTATTTGATCCTGAGTTATGTCCCTATAATCATCTGAAAATTTATTAATTCATCAGTATTTGTCCCTGTCCTCATTCTGTCATAGTCTCTAATAACAACAGCATACTCATTCCATGATTCTATAAGACTTGAAAAAAATCTAGACCATTCTACTTTTTTGGATCTTACAACCATTTTAACTTCACAGCCAGACTATCAAATAATTATGATGGTAACATTATGGTATTTTTTCGAGTATAGTTTTCATTATGGTTTTATTATAGGATGTATCAAAAGCAGTTGACCCTTAATTAGTTTTTTAAGTTGTAGGTATTCAAAATTATTCTGACTATTCTAAGTTGCTGGGTTCTGTTCAACAGGATCTTCTGAGAGATAAAAAATTATGAAAATGCTGGACCTTGACATACTCCTTGCATTTTCTTTCAGGTCGACAATAAATGCGCTTGCTCAGAAGCTCAATGCTTATTGGAAGGAAAAAACATCTCAAGAGAATTTTGAGAACTTACCTGCATCCAGGCCAGTACCATCAGTAATAAAATATAGAATGTGAAAGCATTAAGGGTAATGTCCTTCCATCAAATGGAAGAAACAAGGATAACGTAGTGTTTTTCACATCAGGAAGGTTGATTAACTGCAATAGGGAAAGCACAGGTACTAATTACATCATTTTACCTCTTCATTCTGTTTTAAGATGTATGTGGTTTGGATAATAGATGTGAAGGGCTTAATGCTGTCAGTTTAGGAGAGACTAATACAGTGGGGAATTCTGGCCATTTAAAGCAGACACTCGGTGGAGAGTCAAGACCTACTCCTTGATCGTTGAGAGCTCTTCAGTGAGTCACTTCAACTCTCTGTACTGAGTTAGACTCCATGATTTTAGAACAGTGCATGGCATAGGCTAGGTGTTCAGACATGCTGACAAACTTGCTACCTCTTTAGTCTTGATACATTTTATTGTGACTGAAAAGGTATTTCAGGGCAGAAATAGAGAACGAAACACAGTAGAGGGAAAGCAGAGTTTATTCCTTGTAGATATGGTGAAACAGATAAGCCAAGAAGACAGACTGCATAACAACATACACACAGTTAGTTATAACATCACCAAGATCAGCACAGAAGACAGACTGCATAACAACATACACACAGTTAGTTATAACATCACCAAGATAAACACAGAAGACAGACTGCATAAGAACATACACACAGTTAGTGATAACATCACCAAGCTAGATATCAAAGTGGTAGAGATTACACTGCCCTTCTCATATGAGGGGAGGCTTCTACGTTTTAAAATAGAAATTACTAGATTAATGTTTGGTGCAAAATTCTGTTTCAAATGCAGTCTGAATGCTGTATGTATATTTCTACATTATTCTAAAGATTTCAACTGATTTCAATCCATCATTTTTGCCAAAAAAAATTTAATTAAGATTAAATGATATTTGTTCTTTCAAATTAGCACTGATTAATGTAGTGAGACAGAAGTTCATATATTGCTGGGGCATGTAAGATCTAACAGCAGATTTTTCCTTTTAAAATTATTATTTAATTAATTTATTTTGCATCCAGTTTCCCCCTCCCTCCTATTCTCTCACCTCTTCTTCACCCCGCAACTCAATCCACTCCTGTTTCTGTTCAGAAAGGTGCAGGCCTCACATGGGTATCAAGAAAGCATGGCATATCAAGTTGCCGTAAGACTAAGCACCTCCCTTTTATTAAATTAATACTGGGCAAGGCAATCAGTATGAGGAATAGGTTTCCATGAGCCAACTAAAGCATTAGAGACAGCCTCTTCTCCCACTGTTAGGAGTCCCAGAAATAGAACAAGCTACACAACTGTCACATATGTGTAGAGGACCTAGATTGATCCCATGCAGGAGTTCCAGAAGTAGAACAAGCTACACAACTGTCACATATATGTAGAGGACCTAGACTGATCCCATGCAGAAGTCCCAGAAGTAGAACAAGCTACACAACTGTCACATATATGTAGAGGACCTAGATTGATCCCATGCAAGTTCCCTGGTTGTTAGTTCAGACTCTGTGAGTACTTATGACCCAGAATAGTTGATTCTGTGGGTTTTCTTGTGATGTCCTTGACCCTCTGGCTCCTACAATCCTGCCTCCCTCTCTTCGGCGGGATTCCCAAGCTCAGTTGGGCTGTGGGTCTCTGCATCTCTTTCCATCAGTTACTGGATGAAGGCTTTCTGATAACAATAGGGGTAGTCATCAATAGCAGAAGGCCATCCTCTCCACTATTGCTAGGAGTCTTAGCTGGGGTCATCCATCCTTGTAGATTTGTGGGAGTTTCCCTTATATCACGTTTCTACTTGATCCCCAAAAGCCCCCCTTTCCAGTCATCTCTTTCAATACTATCTCCTCATCCACTCCCAAACCCGGTCCCTCAAGTTTCCATCCCCACCTGCCTCCAGCCCACCCAGGAGATCTCTTCTGTTTCCCCTTCTCAGGGAGATCCATGAATTCCCCCTTGGGCCCTCCTTGTTACTTAGCCTCTCTGGGTGTGTGGATTGTAGCATAGTTATCCTTTGTTCTACAGCTAATATTCACTTATGAGTTAGTACATACCAGGATGATTTTTTTCTAGTTCCATCAATTTGCCTTCAGATTTCCTGATGTAGTTTTTAACAGCTGAGTAAATACTCCATTGTATGAATGTACCACATTTTTTTTAAATCTATTTTTTAGTTGAGGGCCATTCACGTTGTTTCTAGGTTCTGGCTATTACGAATAAAGCTGCTATGAATATAGTTGAACGATTGAATGTCCTTGTGGTATAATTGAGCATCCTTTGTGTACATTCCCAAGAGTGGTATATATAGGTGGGTCTTGAGGTAGATTGAGAAACCGCCATATTGATTTCCAAAGTGGCTGTACAAGTTTACACTCCTACCAGGAATGTTCCCTTTGCTCCACATTCTCTCCAGCATAAGCTATCATTTGTGTTTTTGATTTTTGCCATTCTGATGGGTATAAGATGAAATCTCCAAGTAGTTTTGATTTGCATTTCCCTAATGGCTAAGGATATTGAACATTTCTTTAAGTGCTTCTCTAGCAGCAGAATTTTAATAATAGAGATTATTTATTGAATATTACTTAAGTTCCAGACACTATTCTTAGTTCCTTTCATGTAATAATTTATTCAGTAATCCACAGAACTCTCAGTATACAGGTATTATTACTTGGCAAATAGAAAGCCCAGCACACAAAGAACTTACACCCTTTGCACAGGATTAGCCAAGTAGAATACAGTAGAGCTAAGGTTCAAATTAAGCACCCAGGTTCTTGAAGCTACACTCTTCTGGAGGGATATAGCAAGGGCAATATATATAACTCCTTTAACTTTGTATTTACTGCAGGCAGAAGCTCTACAGCCCTTCTTTCTGCCTGGGTTGAAGGATTCATCGTGGTCTGTTTGTAGCTGCTGCCTCTTAGAGTTCTTGTCCTCAAGAGTAATACAGGCATCTTTTTGCAAGACGTTCTTCTGTGCAAATGCATCTAAAACAAAGCTAACACAACCTTTCCTCTCCGCTCCACTTCTGCTGCAACTGCTTTCCAAGGGCTCCGGCTTTGTAGCTGTGTGAAAGTAGCAGACAGCAGAGGTCAGGCCTGAGCATAGAGCTTCAAAGTTGCAAGTCTGGAGCAACCTAGAGCAATAGGGAGATCCAAAAGTCTGCGAAAACTTGGCTAAATAGATTTTTTAAAAAAAAGAGTAGTTGAGTGGCACAAGTACCTTTTATTTTCTTCTTTATATAGTTCTCTATTTTATAGTTTTTCATAATGGGATAATGTTACTTTAAAACTAGTAATAAAAAAGCAGGACTTAATACAATGAAAAATGACTCAAAGAAGTCATAATAGAAGCATACCAGTTCATTGAACAGTCTAGTAGAAGAGCTGTAATGTGCAGGATACACAAAACTCGCCCTGGGAGTAAAGTGGGCCGGAGGTGCCTCTCTCCTCCCTGTGTGTTTTCATCAGCCTTGGTGCTCTCCGGTACAACTCTGCACACTATTTATACCTCCTGCTACATCTGCACTACTCTCTTCCATGGGGAAATGAATTCACTTTCATCTACAAGTGATTTGGTTGCACACTTCTGGAATTGATATTGAGGGTGGATATGCATTTGGAGAGGTCAGCCTTGGATGAGTTATCTTAATCATTTTGACCAATTGTTGGAGCCATCATTTATAGTTAGGAAATTTAACCAAAGTGCATTGCCTTTTGTGATGGATGTTGGGAATAGCAACACAGTAATGTGATTGAGGCATTATAAACACGTGGTCTGATGTAATGCTGGAGTCAAACTCAGAACCTGTGCATGCTAGCAAGCTGCACACTGAGCTACATCCCTAAGCCCAAAGGGCAAGTTGTGAAAGTGAAAAGAGAAAGCAAAAGCGTTCAGGGAAGTGGGGAAAAGATTTTGATGACAGTGAGAGAAATTAGGAGTGTGCTCGGAAGTGGGGGAGAGATTTTGATGACAATGCTTCCTCTAAATACATTTAAAATTTGTTCAGTGACTGGACAAGGAAATAAAACAATTGGGTGAGTTTTATTTCTTTATAGCAATGTATGATACACATACTTTTCTCAAGTTAATAAATCTCAGGGGTAAAACTAACTAACCTATTATTTTCTCAAAAAAGTTTCTAGAATAAATATTATTATCCTCTACAAATAATCGTAGATCAGTATGTTTTGTATCCACATCTGATATAGTTATCTAGATTGCTCTCAATACACACATTTCAGACATCAAAATTATACAATTTCTAGGCATTTTTCCACATAAAAGTTTTGTTTTCAGTTTTAGGACATACCTTTTAAATGTAGGACAAAGCCCAGAGCTAGGATCTATACAATAACATTTCTGTTTCTCCTCACCCAGGAAGATTCCCGACCAGACATGGGTACAGTGTGATGAATGTCTTAAATGGAGGAAACTTCCTGGGAAGGTGGATCCATCCACATTACCTGCCAGATGGTTTTGTTACTATAATCCCCATCCAAAGTACAGGTAATTTCTAGGACTCAGTATTCTTTTGATGACTACTGATTTGTCTTCCTATTCTACAGAACCACTTCATATCAAATCTGTCTTCTTTAGCCTGGCATTCGAGCCCCCTGTGCTGGCTGGTCCCATTTAAACTATGTAGCTAACCTTATTTTTCATTGTACTTTACCAAACCCCTACAGGGCACTATTCCCTACAGATGCCATGGCTCCTCTCCCCTCCATGACTCTGATAGTGTCGTTTCTCTTGATTGAAATGACTTTCTGTATCCCATGTTCCATTTCAAATCATAACAGTCTGAGGAGCTGAACTCTTTTGTGGCAGCTTTTCCTCTTAATAGCAATTTTCGATGATTTCACTCTGACCTCCCGCAGCATTTGATTCTTGACTTTTGTTCCTATGCCATTTTGTACTTGGGGGTATTTTTCGGGAGTTTGTTTCTTATTTATGTTTGATTCTACAGGAGCCTTTGTTCTTTAAGACTAGGTTCCTTACATTGCACATTAAGTCAGTAGCTTTCCTATGTCTCTGTAGGATCCATGTAAATAGGATCTGCTGTGCAGTCAGTGCTGTACAGCACTTGGTTTGCTTCTTTGTGTTCCTAGTGTGCCATATGTTCCTTAGAGCAGGCAACGTCTCAACAGTGCCCGATATAACTCAGTAGTTACGTGTGTTCCTAACAAGTCAGTCTGCTTCCGTCCAGCTGTGATCTCTTACCTACTCTTCTTTTCACGGACCACATGCTGGTAAATAGAAGGTAGTCCAACAGAGTATGCTTTTTAGAGAAAATATCCAAAGGGGAAGAAAGTATGTGAGTGAAGGCTAGGTGTGTAATTTGGAAGCACACCTCTAGGGTCTCCACATGTGCCTGTGGACAGGAAATGAGACTGAGTGGTCAGGTTATGAAAATGACTTCTAGTAAAGAAAGTAATTTACTTCTGTTCATTCATTCTGCTCTATGAAATCTATTCTTTTAGGGTAATAGGGGATCAAGGTGATGGAATAATCAGTGACTAAATATCTCCAGTGTATGCAAGTTCCCTTACAAGTGCTACAAACTAAGGACTAAAATAGCCATAAGTGTACCAGCAAAGGAAACAATTAGTGATTGTAGTTTATGTATATATTGTGACTAAGTTATGACAAGAGCTGATGAGTTTGTATTTTAAAAGATACTTCTGCCCAGGAAAACTCGTTTTACCACGGAGGAACAAGCCTCTGACTGCTTCCATTTTCCTCAGTTTTGTATTGTGGAAGGTAAATAGAGATTGACCCAAAAGGACTGGGTCTCTCTTCTCCCATCCACCTTTATCTCCCCCAACTTGTAGGGCGGAGGCAATCACTCAGGCAAAGCAAGCTGACAAAACTCAGCCTCCATTGCCCCAGCTCAAGATTGCTCATAGATCAAAGGTTCATTGTGGATGGAGCAAGTGCAGATTCACCCCAGTCCTCATCCATAATGAAGAGATTCATCTCTGGAAGAAACAGGTCATTGTCTTTACTTCTACTTTTTGCATAAGTTGTTCAGCTTTGAGAAAAAGGCAAGAATTAAGGTTGAACTCCATAGCTCTATCTAAAGGAACTGACTTATCTAGAGCAAAGTATCAAGAATTTCACACCTAAGGACACTGTCAGAAATAAAATGGGCCATAGATGATGATAGATATTAATTAAGAGGGTGCTTATAACTCCATGATAAAACTTGCAAAAAATAAAATAGCGAGATAGCCAGAATTTTGGTAATGGAAAGAGAGAAAGACAATCGAGGCAAGTTTCTTGAGATGGCAGTTTATTCTGGGTGTCAGCAAGGGTCTGCATAAACACAAACCGGCACCCACTAAGAAACAAACAGAATAGGACAGAAGGTGAACTTGAAACCAATACCCAAGCTGCATTTAGATCAAACAGCAGACAGACAGCAACCCCCCGCCCCCTGGCATGAATTTTACCACCAACCGCTGGCCAAACAATGTTCTGATCCAGTGATGATTCCTAAGAGGCCAGGTTTAAAGATAAAATCACATCCCTGATAATTTGGAATACATATATATATATATATATATATATATATATATATTTCTGTGCTCTCTTGGAGGTGACAAAAAAGGGACTATCTAAGCTATTAGTAAATGAGTATGTTACAAAAAAACAGACTGCTTAAATTTTGGTGGCAGCTTCCAAATCACAAACAAATAAAATATAAAATGCTTTTTAAAAAAATAACTGGAGAAGTACAGAGAGCAAAAGTGAACGGCCTTGTGCTAGCAGGTCTCATTAAGATTAACAGGTGATTTCTCATAAAAATCAATGGAGAACAGAAGGCATTGGAATGCTACTGTGACTTGGATATGGTTTGTCCCCAGCCAAACTTGGCTTGATATTTAATTGCTAGTGTACCAGTATTCGTCAGACTATTAAGAGGTGTGAACATCATGAAGGTCTCTGTCTTTTGCATGCTCTTCTACTTTCTGCCATGAGTCAGGCTGTAGTGAGACTTTCTCCAGAAGCCAACTAAATCAGCTACCTGATTTTAACAGCATCCAGAACTATGGCCTCAAATAATTACCCCTTTCCTAATAAGATACCCACTCTTGGGTACTCTATTATAACAATGTGAAACAAACTAAAGAAAGATGAAGTATTTAAGGGGATAGAAAAAAGACTGTCAACCAAAAGCTTAATTCCAGTAAAATTATCTTTAAGGCATTAAATGCTATAAATTTATTCTTTGGTGTGTAAATTTATACATTAAATCTGTAAGTGTGTGTGTGTGTATTATATATAATCTTATATAGCAGACCTGCCATATAAGAAATACTAAAGGATGTTTTGCAGGACAAGAGCTGTCTTTTAGTAATTTCTTATGAAATTAGACAATAATCTGAGTGCTGATAAAGATAATTGTGTAAAGAACTACAAAACAATATAATGTCACTCTTCATTCTATTGACCAATTTAAGGAATAATTACTTAAGATATTTATATGTAATTACATGTATATAGAACTTTATCATTGAACTTATTTTGTATATAAATATAAATATTTTTGACAATAGTAAACAAAGGCAGTGAATGGTATAGCAAGGCTGTACTGGAGTAACAGTACAGAGAGGACCTTTGATGCATAGTCAGAAATGAAGACAGCAAAAATTAAGCAGCGACAATATAAGAAAATTGTACTTGTGCCAGGTGGATGTAGCCCACGCCTTTAATCCCAGCATTCAGGAGGTAGAGGCAGGTGGATCTCTGAATTTGAGGCCAGCCTGGTCTACAGAGGACAGCCAGGCAGGGCTACACAGAGAAAAGCCTGTCTTGAAAATTTTTACTTGCTCTGTTTTCTTCTTATAGATTCATCAAATGATGTAATATTGTAAAAAAGTAATAATTGGTGAAATAATTTTGGGCTAACTAGATGGTTCAGTGGGTAAAGGCACCCGACCCCAAGCCTGACAACCTGAAGCTTGATCCCTGGAATCTAGAGGATGAAAGGAGAGAGCCAGCTCCTACACATCCTCTGACTTGAGTATAGAGGCTGTGTGTAGCACATGCTTGTGTACATACGCATACTTACATATGCAAAATAAGTAATCAGCTGGAAAAATAAAAGATAAAATAATAACTTCTTAGACCTGTAAATATTCTACTAAAAGTATCTACATAACATAGAAAAGGAATAATACTGGAGAAACAGAGAGCTAAGAAGGCATAACACAAATGGAAAACAAAATCTAAATAGCCATTATAAACTCTACCATATCAGTAATGAACACAGTGTATCTGCGTTAGACACTTCAGTCAAAAGGCAGATGTGGTTACATTGGATTTCCTTTAAAAGTCTAGATATGTCAGCCAGAGGAGACACTTTAGATTCAAATCTGCAAATGAGTCAAAAGTAAAGGACAGAAACTGCATACCATATAAACAGCAAATTAATAGACCTAGACAGTTATTCTGACACCAGATAAAATATATTCTAATGCCAAATGTGGTGGTGTACACCAGTAATCCTAGCACTCAGGAGGATGGAGCAGGAGGATCGCTATCACTTTGAGGTCAGCCTGCACTACAAAACAAGACAGTTTAAAATTACGTGCATTAAAAAAGGTATTCTAGATCTAAAAAGAGACATTTCATAATGAAAAAGCCTATTGTGAAGGCATAATAAGAAAATCACCATGCTGGGCGGTGGTGGGTGAATCTCTGTGAGTTCAAGGCCAGCCTCGTCTACAAGAGCTAGTTCCAGGACAGCCAGAGCTGTTACTCAGAGAAACCCTGTCTCAAACAAACAAGCAAACAAACAAAACAAAAAAAACAAAAAAATCATTAAGTATAACCAAACAGAAGGAAGGAAATGGTTAAAGATTAAAGTGGAAATGAAATGGAGAATAGCAAAACATTAAAAAAGAATCAAGACCAAAATTTACATTTTTGAAAGAGCCAAAAAAAATAAGAAAGAAACCACAAAGCAATTATATTTATGATAGCTTAAAAATATTTAGAATAAGTTTAACAGACTTGGTATAAATAATATCTATACACTAAGAAAAACAAAATATTGTTGAATTAAAGGTAACCTAAATGAATAGAAAGACATCTATCATTTCTGTTACCAGAGGGTTTGTTACTTTAAAAAAATATCGCAGTAATCTCAAACTGGTCTACAGATGCAGTATAAGCTCTTTCAAAACACCAGATGTCTCTGTTGCAGTAGTCAGCAGTGCCATCCTAAAATTCACATGGAAATTCTAGGACATAGAATCAGTACAACAATCTTGAAAGAGAAGGAAGTTAGAGTCTCCTTCGCCTTTAATGATCCACAGTAGTCAGGACAGCGTAGTAGTGATATAAGGTTAGGCACACACTTCAGTGGAAAAGAAAAGAAACACATAACCTTACATTTATGCTCAATAGATTTGAATGCAACAAAATGAGGATGAATCCCTAACCCCGCACTATACACATGTAACTGACAGGAGCTTTCAGATCTAAGTGTAACAGCTAAG